CTGGGTGTAGCAATCAAGATATGTGATCCTGCAGTTTCTCCCTTGGGTTAGTTATGGCTCCTTCCTCAGCAGGGAGTGAGCTCTGGGGGACAGGACTGGGGTCACATTGTTCATGGCCACAGCCCCACACCCAGGCCGCCCTGGAGCAGAGGAGGCCCCGTGTGTGTGTTTGCTGGGTGAATCCGTGCAAGCATGCACTCCCCGGCAGTCTTGTTTCCTGGGCCGGCTCCTGGCTGGGACACCCGCCAGCTGCCCAGCCCATCTGGCACCATCTGTGCTGATGACAGAGCTGTCCAGCAGTCTGCACCCCAAGCCCTGACTGTCCCGCACAGGGTGATGCTCCCTTCCTGGACAGTGTCCTGTGTGGGGCAGGAGCAGGTCAGGGAGGGCCCATGGGAAAAGATCATGGCGCCTGAAGCCTGGCAGTGGCACCCAGAGCGGCAAGACCTCCCGGTAGGAAAAGTGCCACTGCGTTCTTCCCAGTTTATCTTTCCCCCAACCTTTGATTCCCCTGCCCGCCTCCATGGACCTTTCCCCTGAGCCCAGTTCTCTTTGTGCCCACTGATGACGCTGAGATTGAGTTACATCCCAGCCCTATTCATTTATTTATTTGGAGACAATGTGTCTCATTAAGTTGCCCAGGCTGGGCTTGAACTCAGGATCTGCCTGCTTCAGCCTCCCATGTATGGGGAATTCTCACTGACTTCTAAAACCTAGCTTGGGAACTGGCCCTCTCCAGCTCCTGGCTCCCCGTCAGTGCAGATCCTTCCCCAGGGCAGGGAAGTCCCGTAGACTGAGGGCTAAGCCTCAGCCGTGGTGCCCTCCAGCTGTGCGACCCCGTGCAAGAAGGTCACCTCTCTGAACCTCTGTGTCAACGTCTGTACAATGAGGCCAGCTCTACTCCCGGCCCCCAGGAGCACAGAGCCTGGCCTGGGACAGTCACTGTTGGGGTGGGGCTGGCAGGCTTGGCCATCCGCGTGTGGGAGTGATGCACTGCGTTCTTGGGGACGACGTGCTCTAGTTCCCCCTGTTCACCACCTTCCCACCCTTGGTCTTGCTGCTTCCTCCCCCTCAGGTCTCTCCTTCCATCTTCAGAATGGAAGCCCTCTCTCCCAGGCGGGCAGGAAAGAACCCTTCCTTTATAGCCTTCTCCCCACACAGATGTGAGCTGCTTCCTTGAAATCCCTGCGTTACTTGTGCTGAGTACATTTGAAGGCAGGGGTTGTTACAGCTTTCCCCAGAGAAGAGTGAGCTCGGGAGGGTAGTCAAGGTCCTTGAACATAGTGTGTGGGTTGGGCTTGGCTCCCACGCCTGTCTGACCCCACGGCCACCGGGCACCCCGCACTGTCCGTACGCTAATCCGGAAGGTGTCACACTGAGCCTTAATGAGGAAGGAAGGCTCAGGCCCGGGGTCACTCAGATAACCCGAGCAAGCTTTCAATACAAAGTTCAAAGTTTTATCCCCCTAAAGGCTGGGCCTCACCCCTCCTCTCAAGTATGGTTTGCCATGCACAGCACTCACCTGTCAGGAGTGTGGGCTGGGCCTGGGTGTCCCTGTGACTTGGGTGCACGAGGGTATTCAGGCATGGAGGGGGGCTTGGCCCTATTGAGAATGGGAGGGCTGTCCTGTCCTGGGCCCTGTGCAGGACAGGTTCGCATCCCCGAGTGACACAGCCTGTAGGACTCCAGCCCCCAGGGGGACAGGCCTCGGGAAGACAGGGCAGCTCAGTCCAGCAAATTCTTCCGGCAGAACCTCTGATGACCCAGGTGAGTGAGTCGGGTTGCTGCCTGGCCTGCTACCCGGCTCTGGAGGTCGTGGTAGTACAGCACTGTGGAGTTGCAAAGATGGTGGCCATAGGCCCGCCACAACCCTGCCCTTGAACTCCCCGCACCCGTCTTGAGAGCTACCTTGGCACCTTCTCACCACCTGCTGACTCCCTGCAGCCACACCAGCTCAGGATATGCAATCTTCTTGTGACGTAACTGGTCCCTGCAGCATAGGGCAGGCTGGTTCAGGGACAGTCCTGGCAGGGCCTTCGACTTTTTGTTTTTGTCTTTTTGAGACAGTGTCTTGCTATGCAGTTTAGGCTAGCCTTGAGCTCACTTTGTAGCTCAGGCTGGTCTCGAACTCACAAAGATCCTCCTGCCTCAGCCTCCCGAGTGCTGGGATTACAGGCGTGTATCACCACGTCCGGCTTTAATGAAGCTTCTCTTTCACACACTTGTGGCTCAACAGCCAAGGACACTGTTTCCAGCCTATGGAGGTTTATAAATCATCTACCACCCACAAAAGTGGCTTCCTTGCCTCAGTGGCCACTCCATGGCCCTGTAAGAGCCAACCTTAGAAAGAGGCCCCCACAGAAGATAGCCTGTTGGTGACGCTGCACACGGATCCAGGGCAGGGGCATCTACAGGTCTGGAGCTTGGCGCAGCCAAGAAGCAGGAACTGTGGCATGGGGTTCTGCCTTCTGCTTCCTCTGCAGGCAGAGGCCTGAGGCACAACTTCTGACGGGGTTTACTGTACATCCCTGGTAGACTTTGTAAGTCTGACCGTCTTGGCAGAAGGTCTGTACACTGACCCTGGCTCCATCCCATTCTGCCCTGCCAACAGCTCTGAGGCCACCTGCACAGAAAAGCACAGAGGAAATGCAGCTTGTACAGGCACAAGGATCGCAAGTTCAAGCCCAGCCTGGGCAACTCAGTGATTGCACGATCCTGTCTCAAAATAAAAAACATAAAAAGGGCTGGGGATGTAGCTCCACGGGTTCAGTCTCTGGCACTGGATAAATAAAAAGCAGCTGCTCATCCCTGGGTGAGGGAGATGCTGCCCCAGAATGTACGGAAGCTCAGGGTGCAGCAAGGGGGGGCCCACAGACCTGGGGTTGAATGCAGCCGGGCACAAGCGCCTCTGGATGTCCTGCTGTCAGCGCACTTTTAAAAATGTAACGCCAGGGAACTTGTTAATTTGGGTGCTGGGATAAAATAATGAGTTTTGACAGCTGAGTTGTCAGCTGCCCCAGATGGCGCAGAATGGGGCTTCTCAGGCCATTTCGCTGCTGTCCACAGCAGCACTGCATGGTGGGGCCTGCCCTTCCTGTCCCATGGAAGAGAAGCGTGCAGGTCCAAGAAGCAGGGGCCTTGCTAGCGGGGGGCAGAGCTGGGACATGAGACAGTGGCAGGACGGCCCGAGCCCTTACCCTCACTTGTGCCCTCCTAAGATGTGTCCTCAGCTTGGGCTCTGCATCCGACTCATGCGCGTAACAAACGCTGGCTGTTTGATGACTACAGTGAGGAAATGACTTCACTCCCACGGCAGGCCCCAGAGACCAGGGAGAACTGTGGGTGTGGCCGAAGCCTCGATGCAGCCCTTCTACATCCGTCTAACATGGGGGTGTGGGGTGCGGGCACAGTGGAGTGGCCTGGGACCATACAAGCCTAGAAAGACATTGGCCCAGATCCCTCTGGCTGGAGCGCCCTTTGCATACGTGGCTATTCCACCTGGATGGGTCCCGTCGGCAGTGCAGAGGGAACGGGGCTCCCCCTCCAGCCTGGCTGAATTCCAGAGGTTACTTCAGTGCTCATCTGTGTGTGTGGGGAGTGGCAGGCCGAAGTTACTCGGGGAGCTTGGTCAGAGCTCTATCAACAGTTGTGGGCAGCCCTTATGTCCTAACAGTGGGGGTGGGGAGCTGCTGGCAGAGGCCTACTCTCAAGTTGCTCAATCAGATGCCTGGGGCATCTCACACATTCCTGGATTGCATTCTCAGCATCCTGATGGAGGCACCCAGAGATGGATTTCCACATAAAGAAATGGGCACAGGACTGGGCTCATGGGACTCAGGGTCAGGAAGTGGGGTACAGGGAGATTTTGCACATCTGACTGCAATTCCAGAGCTCATCATGCTCTGGCTTTTGGAAAAGTATTCTGAATGAACCATTTTTCACTGTTCTGCAAGCCACGCTGGTCAACTGAGTTAGTTTCCAAGTAACATACCTGAAACCTAAGACAGCCCTGGACTTACATGTGAACCAAACTTAGAGACAACCCACCAGCCATGCCTGATCACCCACTTTCATGCAACAGTGTGTTACTTCCCAACAAAATAACACAGCCAGGCCAATGGCCTCGCAACACTAGAGACCAGTGCTTCTCCAACTGTGTTGAAAAACAACACAGTTCTTAGACACTCACAAGTCCTGTCAGCGGATCAAAACCAAAACCACTTTTCCATTTCAAACGTTCTCTTTGCAGTGACAGTTTATAAGGAAAAGTCAAAGTGTCACAGAGTAAGCCTGTTTTTAGGTGGGTGTGTGCTACTTTGGAGGCTCCCCAGCGTTTTGGGGCTTTGTAGGATTTGTCCATTAGTGGCAGGAATGCTCGTGAGAAAGCCCCAGGGTTCCAGGAGCCTTGACTGCCAAGAGAGGACCTCTTGACTCTCACAGCCCGGGTCACGGCCCGGGTCATGTTTGAGTCCTCAGGTGCACCTGGCCAGGTGAGGGGTGAGAACTCACTGAGCTGATGGAGCTGCCCCACTGAGGCCAAAGCTACCCATGGTGGAGCTGGGAAAACGGGCTCCCTGTCGAGGCTCAGTGGGTTGGATCTTTAGATCCAGGAGTGCTGTGTCCGAGGCAGAAGGCCAGGCTGACGCTGGACCTCTGGCTCACAGAACAGCTGCACACACCCAGGGGGAGCTGTAAAATTTTACTTCATATATGTCTGAATCATCCCAATTTTCTCCCACCATTTATACTTTGGCAAGTTGCTGTGTAAAACAGGAACTGTAAAGATGCACATCTAACCTATAGTCACGGTGGCCTCTGGGGAGAGGGCAGGGCTGGGCTGGGAGGTGTGTTTCTGAAATGCATCACTGACTGGGAGCAAGTGTGGCGCGTGGGAAGCCTCCTCCCTGGTTGGAAGGTGAGGTGTGTTCCACACACCTCCTGTCTTCCCCCGCTGAGCCGTCCAGGCACACGGCCGCACAAAATGCAGAACACAGCCATCATGTGCTTCAGTACAAATTTAATAAAGCTCTGACAGGTCTTAATTCATAAGTTACCTACAAAAACAAAAAACCCACTTTTTAGAGCCGTCAAGAGCCATCAAGGTGTCAGTGAACACCAGCTATAAAAGTACAGACTCTCAGTGTTTTAGATAGTGCAATATCACAGCTGCTGTGACTATAATCTACCCCTCCTGTCAAGAAAAGAAACCGGCAAAGTTGATATTGGTGCTTATAAACCACTCCTCCCCTAGACCCCACTGGCTCCCCCTCTCCGGTGAGAAAAACGATCAATCATTGTCAGGCCCTGAGCTAACAGGCTCAGCATCTACGTACAGACTGTGTACACCATGGGCAATACACATCTTGAAAGGATTCGAGTGTTTAAAGAACGTGGCAAGTCCACAGAAGCAGGGGTTGCTAATATATCTTTAACGTTAACTTCCTGTCTTCAAATTTGTCTTCCTTCCATCACAGTAAAGCACACATTCTTCTTCGGAAGCCCAAGGGCCGTGGCCTGGCCCACACCGGGATCCAGCCGCAGGCCTCCGATGTGGGCGGCAGGCTGCGCTTGTTTGCTCTGCTTTGCTGCCAACAGGAAGGCTCTCGCTGGAAGGTGTGGCTTCCAAGAGCGCTGTGAGCCCAAAGCCCATGGCACAGGGCGGAGGAGGGAGCAGGCACGCCTGGCTTCAGTCTGGGCGGGGATACACGACGTGCAGGAAGTGGGGAGGGTGGCGGTCGCCCCTGCCTCAATTCCCTGGATCTGGAGGAAGTTTCCATGAAAGGGGAAAACAGATGGTAGAGAAAAGCACAATAGGCTGGGAGGGGAAATGGAATAAAAAACGAAGCAACAAGCCAAGGCAGAGGCAGCGAGGGTGCATGTGGGTCGCCTCAGCCTCCTGAGCTTGTCAGTGCAAAGGGCTCCCAGGTGCTCTGTGCTGAGGGCCGGGCAGCAAGCCCTGATTCATGGAGTGAAGCCACTGCCCAGTTCGGATAGATGAGCAGGGCAAATGAGCCAAGAAAGAGGGAGTCGCTGTTCTGGGTAGCAGTGAGTGAGTGCAGCTACAATTGGAGCTGCTGCTTGCGACCAGGGAGCTCTTCTCCCAAACCAGGACGCCAACGTGGGTGCATAGGACAGGCTCAGCGGCGAGGGCTCCCTGGCAGCTCGGCCTGCCGAGCACTCAGAAAGGAGGCTGCAGCATGGGAAGTGCGGCTTCGCAGTGGGCACAGCGCCCTGAACTGCTGCTGCTCCACGGCCACCCTGGGTACCAGCTGGGCCTGGCTGCCCGGGAAGACGCCACTGGGATGGGACAGAGGCAGAGACTTCGTTGGGTGCATAGAGGCTTGGCAAGGCCTTACCTGAGTGAAGTTTTCAGAAAGGAAGGAGAGGATCCATGTATAGCAGGCTTCACGCGCTCAGACCCATGCCACGGAACGACTCTAGGCTCCTGTGGTTCTAGGGACCAGCTCACTCTGGTCAGGGGAAGACAGACCCAAAGCCCCAACTATCCAAAGGTGGCCTCTTTACATTTGCCAGGCCTGGGCTCTAGGCCACTGGAGAGTGGGAAAAAAGGACCAACGTGGGTGGAACCTGGAGGTTTATTGTCAACTCTCCCTGCCTACTAGCATCACCTGGAGAGGGCTGTGCAGTGCCGTCACGTGCATCTAAGGTCCTCGAGGCCACAGGGGAGCCTCATGGCTATGGGGGGCCCATGTCTCCTGCATGTTGCCCTGCTCCCAGCTGTCTCTAGGAGCCCTGGAGGGCGCACAGATGCGGTGCGGTCGGAGCTAGGACAGCTCAAAGCCCGTGTTCATGCTGATGGCGTAGCGCAGCTTCTCCCGGAGGATGCTTTTCTTGCTGTAGTTGGGCAGCTTGAGCAGATTGAAGCAGGTGGAGGAGGTGGGCAGACGGCCACCTGGCTCTCGCTTGCGAATGGTGAAGAAGCCCCGGAGGACGCTGCCCAGGGTGTCCCCAGTGTCCTGTAAGCGACACCACAGCCTTGTGTCAGGAGGTGCCTAGCCTGGGGGCCTGGTAGGTACCAAAGCAGAGAGGGGCCCTCAGCAGCCCCTGGGCACTGGGCAGAATGTGGGTTCTGCCCTCTGGGTACATGCAGAGCCTGAGGTCAACTCCAAATTTGATAAGGACCTGAGAGGTGGAGTACAGAGAAGTAGCCCCTGTTCCATGAGGCCACACGGGGGACTCCTGTGCTGTCCACTTTCAGGAACAGCCTTCTGAGTCATAGCCAGCATCGGTTAACCAACTGGCAAAGAACTGAACAGTGGGAAACCATTTTGGTTACCAAAACGTTTCTAAATGCCACTTAACATTTCCTTCCTGGCCTTGCCTGGTTCATGGTTGACTTTCCCTTAAGTACAGAGGCTGAGGATCATCTCGTGTCCTACATGAAAGGACACACCCAGAAGCCATGGGGTTTTCATGGGTGGGACACATCTGGGCATGTACTATGGTCAGGCTCTTGGTGCACGGGGCACACTAACCCCAAGGTGTTATCCTTTAACAGACTAGGATGAAGCAGCATGCCTGGATGGTGCGGGCAGCAGGTGGACAGGCTGTGGTGCAGGCCTATACTGTCTACCCCGGGCCTCACACTCTCCCCTGCTGCGTCTTAGACTTGGAACCTGGCTGGACCAGCTGTCACTGAAATAGCATGCGCCACCCCACCAATGTCCCCATCTCCAAGGAAGCACAGAGAAAGGAAGGGCAGCCAGGGCAGGGCCAGCTGCTCTCAGGCCGTGAGAACTGTGGCTCCAAGAGGCCCAGTGTCAGTCTTGCTGAGACACAGACTGGGTGAGGGCCCCACAAGTTGATACAGCAGAAGACAAGCAAGCAGGAACAAGGACCGCCACCCAGGGCCTGCGGCCCTGCTATACCTGATCGTCGGATACTTCCACACAACGGATGGAGAAAGGGGGCTTGAGGTAGGCGAATCCCAGGAGTGGAGGCCTGGAGCAGCTGGTCACAAACTGCAACACAAGGCAGGTCAGAGGGGGCAGGTGGGCTCCTAGAGTTGCACTGGACGCGCTCCCTTCCTTAGCCACTGCACCATGCGCTGTGCTGAGTCAGCCGTGGGGTGACAGAGCAGCGAAGCTGGCTCACGACGTGGGCAACACACAGCACAGGCCCCTGCAGGGTGCAGCTCTCCAGTACTGGCACACGGAATCCTCACCCATCACAGAGGACTGGTGGGTCGTGGGGCCGTGTGACTGAGGGGTTTAGGAAAAAGGCAGATCTCATCTAGGGCCCAGAGTGACCTCCCTGGGAGGCAGTCTCCAGTGGCAGTGCAGAACAGCGACAGACACCCTTCCTTAGAGATACTACACAACAGCAGCACTGGCAAGGGGGAGGCCACACGGGGGGTGCCCGAGGCAAGCTGTGGGGGAGGGGCTGTGCCCGAGTCGTGGCCCCACAGCCTGGTGCAGAGCCCTGGTGTGGATCGCTCAGCAACCTCACTTGCCCACAGCACACCTGCTGGGCTTCTCAGGCACGCAGGGGAGCCGGTGGGGCCGGCAGAGCTGTCTCTGTGAGTGGGGGTCCTGGAGACCCCTCTTTGAGAGGGGCTCTGCCCTCAGCATGCAGAGAAATACCAGGTCTCTACAGCCAGAGAGGCTGAGGAGCGGACCAAAGAACTGGGCATTAGATGTGGGTCCTACACCGCATTTCCCTGCTCTAGCCCAGAATCACTGCACTCTTCATGGCAGTGCCTGGGTCAGTTCCTCAAATGTGCCGGCTTATGTCTGGATGAAGGCAGCGACCAACCTAGAAATCCGAGAGTCAACCTCGACTGGGATGTCCTAAGAAACCTTCCCTTTCCGTAATTCCACAGTAACCCCAAATGCTCTTTTCTCTAAGGGACCCAGGGCCCTGCTACTTTGGACACCAAGCCTGGCTCTAAAATTCAGCAGCCAATTTAGTTTGTATCTTATAATAAATATTACCATTTAAACAATATTATAAATGGTTGTGAGATTCTTGAGGTCTTGCAAAGACCGTTTTATGTGTGTCATGCTTCGAAAAATTTTTAAAAATGTACTAAATAGCTGCATGTGGTGGCACACACCTGTAATCCCAGCACCCTGGGAGGCTGAGGCAGGAGGACTGGAAAGTTCAGTACTCCTGGGCAATTTAGGGAGATCCTATCTCAATATAAAAAATTAGAAGGGCTGGATGTGGTAGTGCACACCTGTAATCCCGGTACTTGGGAGGTGCAGGCAGGAGAAGCACTGTAAATGTGAGGCCAGCAAGGGCTACACAGTGAGTTCAAGGCCAGCCTGAACTATATAGTAAGACCCTGTCTCAAAAAAAAAGAAAAGAAGACAAACTGTGGATGTAGCTTAGTGCGAAGGCCCTGGGTTCAATCTTCTGTACCATTTAAACAAAACAGTACGGAATATATTCCTCTTCTAAAATGTTTTATCTATAAAAAACCATAGCAGTAGCAGCAGCAGCAGCAGCACCTGCTGTGAACACAGACTTCTTCAGTCACTGCAAAGATGCTGTGCGTCCAGGCTGGCTTAGTCCTGTTCTGAGAAGGAGACAGATAAACTGTCTGCACATCCGGCTCAGGCTCAGAACTAATTGCCTCCTGCTGGGACCTGGGGCTGCCTGAGCAGGGAGGTGCTTCCACCCTTTGGGGACAAGGGGAGAGTGAGGGCAGGGAAATCGCCAGACACTATACTGCCCAGCAGCACAGGTGCATCCACTCCCAGGAGAGCGCTCCACTTTAATCCCCCTGGCCTGGGGCCTGTCTGTAGCCACACAGAAGACAGGCACACGAGGCACTGTGAGTTTGATGACAGGTCAACCGAAGGCACAGACATGCCTGATTGTGGGCTGTGACTGTACTGCTGGGAACTGCTGTCTGTCCTCTTCCCAGGACAGGCAGAGTGAGGTTTCCAGGTCAGTGGAGACTGTGCTACAAACGAGACACACTGGTGGGAAGCCTGGCTGCTCGTCCCCAGAACCACTTCCGGGATTACCACCGTCTCCCGCCCTGAGGCCCTGAGGACCTTGGGTGACTGGAGCTTGGGTCTGCTGGACTGCTGAGAAGGCATCCTCAACAGGAATGCACTTTCCTCACAAGACCAACCATGGAAAAAGACCAGCGGCTACTTCAATTGGTGGGACACTGCCACACTGCTTCGACACTGGAGGTCACATAGTTCTGTTTAAGAAACCCATATGCCTAACAAAATAGTTCAAGGCACTAAATTTATTCCCGGAATATGGCAAAGTGTTCTATTGTCAAAGTGATCTACTGTCAAATAAAGAGAAAAGCCAACTGGTGAAATGATGATTTCAATTTTATAAAAATATACCCCATGACCTACACAATACTAACACTTTGCTGAGGTCAGCTGTTAAAGAGATAGTGCAGTGGCACTGGGAGGGATATCTGGAATATTCAGAACTGAATGTAAGTAGTTTAAAATTCTACATTTACAGAAATATTTAGGGTCATTTAAAGTTTTGTTTGTATCTATTTCTTTGAGACAGTGTCTTGTTATGTTGAAGGCTGGCCTCAAACTTACCATGTAGCCCAAGTATGTGCCACCATACCCAGCTATACCTTCTTAAGGTAATATGGTTTACTTCTTATGGTAATATGGTTTTCATTACTTCTATAATGAAAGCAAGAAAAAAAAAAATATTAGCAAGGCCAGCGCAAGCCAGGAGAAGATGGCATGGCAAGCCAGCAGGGACACATACCCAGCTGGGCACGGGCCTGTCTCACAGTAAGCAGTGGGCAGTGGGCTCAGTCTCAGCTCTTGAGCCTGCCCTGCTTACTACCTGGCCTATAGGAGAGGACATACTGATGAAGAGGCTTTCTTGATAATCCCATGTTTCCCCATGTAAATTATTGTATCAATAGGTCTTCCAGGTGTATTAGACTACCATGCACCCCAAAACACACACATAGGTCACAAATACCTTCAGAAACATGGCTCTCTCATCAGGTGTGAAGTCGGAGGCCAGAATATCCCAGAGCCAGATGATGACTCTGTGACTCCCATGAAAGCCACCGTAGTACACCGTGTGCTTCCTGAAAACAACCCAGACATGGGCTCAGCGCATGCCGATGGGCACTTGTGAACACAGGCAGGCAGGGTGACTTAGACAAGGGCCCAGGCAACTCAGACAGCGCTGGCTAATACTACTAACATCTCTTAGTGCCACAAGTTCATGCCTTTATAACCTCATCTTCCTGGAAGCTAAATGGGCAGGGAGTTTGAAAGCTAGCCTGCTGTTCCCAAGCAGATGCCAACCTAAACCACCATGTCACCACTTGCTGGAGCTTTAGTGTGACTCCAGTCCTCAAAGCTGGCTTCCACTTATCAGCTGCCAGGCAGACAAGGGGTAACAGCACCCTAGCTAGATCATGGAGGAGGAGGAGATTTGGTGAGGGGCTCTTGGGACAACTCTGCCAAGGGAACTCCGCAAAGCAGCAGATTGCTTTCCAGGAGGCCTAGGAATTTCACCCTTCCCTCCTCACTGCCCTTACTTTAAATCATCCAGATCGATCTCGGCGTTGTCACCAGAGATGAGACGCTGCAGCTCAGGGGCTGAGAACATTCGGATCCACTCGGGTTTGATGATGGAACGGAATCCACTAATGAGGGCAGCTGTCTGGTTTTTTATTTGAGTGTGCATTCGGAAATGTGCCATCAGATGGATGTAGCTAATTCTGTTAACAAGGAAGACAAAATCATGGAAATTAGGATGAGCTGGGCTGTTGTCACCAACGGGCTGAAGGATGAGTCTGGTTTCTGAGCCATTTTATGGAACCATCCTGGCACGCACAGTATCAGAGTGTCACCAGAATGATGACAATCATGGCCTTGATGACCATGCTCTTATCACTGCTTGCCACTAGGTAGGACTCAGGTTTTCAAGGGGTTTACTTGTCCCCAAAACCCTACACATTATACTGAGAATGACCCCCCCATTACGTTGGGAATTGAAGTGAGTCATTCTCAGAGGTAGAAAGAGGGCTCCTCTTAGTACAAAGGTTGTTTTCAAACTTTTTAATTTCATTCTTCTGGGCACAAATGATCATGATGTTATTTAGTACTCTAGTAAGCTTTAAAATAGAGAACTGACTCATACTGAAACGTCAGTCCGAACCTTGCTAAAGTAGACCAAAAGTCTAAAACCACGAAGAGGAAGACCAGCAGGATGTTTTCCGCAAGCACAGCTGCCTTACATCCAGGGTCTGCTCCAGAAGTCAGAGGAACTAACCCTACTTCCAGGCACAGGGGGCTCTGGGTCTGTCTGTACGGACACACTGATCTTATAGGACATGATGCAATCCTTTTGAACAGGTTAAACACATCCCAATAATCTAGCTATGGTGCTGATTTCTCAGCAAGCCATTTGCTCAGGAGTAAAGGACTTGAGCTTAAAGCTGGGGAGATAGCTCAGGAGCACGAGTGCCTGCTTGACAAGCACAAGATCCTGAGTTCAATTCTTGGTACAAAAAACCAAAAAAACTCCCCCCAAAACAAAAAAAAACCCACTAGGTTGGGCTTGGCCCAAGTATGACTCTCAGAAATTCCAAGTAAGCACAGTCCAACTAAATTTTTCCCCATAGTGCTCAGGTCTAACTTACTTAACTTGAAAATATTACTAGTAAAACTACCCTAGCAGCAATCCTGTACCTTCAAATACTTAAACATGAGTTTTTCTATTATTGCCGGTCCTCCCAAGTACTCTCTGTAGCAGGTTATCGCACTGCTTCATTTTACCAAAAGAGAAAGGAGAGAGAATGGGAAGGGTTAACACCCTCTGAGGAGGAACAGGCACTGCCAAGCCTTTTCCGTCAGTCTGGGTACAGACTACCCTCGCCCTCACACTGTGGCTCTAGGCTTAGAACACAGGCATTTGTGAAATGAGTTTTCAAGTCTGGTTTCAAGGCAGGGCAGGGATCCCAGTCCAACACAGCGTCGACCCAGCTCCTTCAGCCGTTATTTACACACCTTACAGGCATACAGTTCTTGCCGTCAGCTCTGTGCAGCAGCTCCAGGGAAAGGCGGCTTCCCTGGGGGTAGCAGGATCTACAGGACATGTCACATATCTGATAATGTGACCATGGTTCTCATTTATAAGCCCCTCTTTTCAGCCTGGCATCCTGGGAGCTGTTTTACAGCTTCTCTTGCATACAGACCTAGGAAGGAACAGCTATGGGTCGCAGGTGGGCAGGGGCAGAATATAGCCCACTCTCTCCACACCCACAGCTGGGTCCTCCTCTCCCCTCCTCTAACGGCCCCTGTAACCTGGGCTCTTTGTTCTAGTTTTCAAACTAATGCCCCGTAGCCAAGGGGCAAAGCTGGTGTACTTCAATCACGATGGAAACGAAGTCTGTTCTTCTGATTGTTCTGACAGTGAAAATAGAACTCCCCAAGCATACTGACCGACCAAAGCCCTGACCTAAGAGGACAGGATGTTCCACTGGACTGGACTGTGTGTCTGATCCAGACGACACACCAGGTGGGTCGAGCCCTCACCTGTCACTGAAGAGACTGATGTTCACATTACCAGTTCAAATGCCCAGCGGCACCTGGTGGCAGAACACTGAGACTGACAAGGGGGCCAAGGTCTGCTCCTCATGCCAGGTTCTGTTTTAATCAGGCAAGAGCAGGGCTGGCTGGAGACAGAGTGCTGAGGGTTTTGTCTCTTCAGACCAAAAGGGTTGACATTTATGACAGATTCCTAGAAGCACGTTATCAGTGACAATAGCTGCCAGGTTTCGGCGTCCCTTCTGATTTCCTACGTGAAGTCTGTGTCTGCGGGACTGAATTCATCACGGAGTCTCTTGAGAACAGTGTTTTCTACAATTGCCACACGCCATCATTTTAAAGTAAGCTGTGCCTTGAAGGAGTCTCTGCCTCGGTGCCCTCTGGGTTCAGGACAGTGCCTGACCGGCTCAGAACCCATCTGTCTGCATACAGAGCCATCATTTCATTCCTAGGAACACTGCGGCCTGCGTGCCTCTGACCTTACAAGTGCTACTGCAAAAAAATAAATCATCAATTCTTATTTTGCAAATCGAATTTAATACAACTCTGGCCTATGAACTGTAACCAGTAAATTCCATTATGATATTTATGGCCTCTTTCTACTTCAATCTATCTTAATAAATTCTCAACATAAGCCCGGGGAGCCAGAATGAAGTCTTTTCAAGTGGTGACCTTAAAAATCTAATTGCTGTACTCACTTGTTTTCATTTGTAACAGGAATGGTCTTCCCTCCAGGAATCAGTTCATGGCAAACAAGCTGGGGGAGAAGATGGGGAGTAATTACTAGAGAGAATTCTAATGGGGAAATAAAGCTTCCTGAAGAACAGAGCCCGATGCAAACATCCATGATAATGATGGAATTAAGATGGCATGTTCTTGGGAACGATCATTTTTCATAAAACCTCAGGGTTAAAACCACCAAGGAGCAGATCCTGCATGATCAATATGAAAGGTTTCTTCTTCTGTGATTCTTGTTCAAACATCTAAGCCAAGGCTCCAGAATGTCACAGAAGAAACTGCGCTGGTGTTTAGGACCAGAGCAGGAGGCTGAACAAATGCTGGCTCATCCATGCATGAGAATATGGTGCAACTAGAAAAAAATATGATGAAAGTGTACTGTTATTGAATAGGTGAAAAATAACAGCACATAATAGCACCTATGGTCTGCTATCACTCCTGCAAAATAACCCAAATTACATACACACTCCTGGGAAAAAGCCTGAAGGACAAGGACAACAGACTAGAGGGTGCCCTCTGGGCCCTGGCATTACGGGGTTTTTTACTTTCATCTTTATGTTCATATTATAGTCAAGCTGTTCTGCCAGATATTTCTCCAGCCTGGTTTTCCACAGATGCTTCCATGGAACACCAAGAACTCTGCTGAGCAGAGAAATAGCATTCTTTCCTTCTTTGAAAGAGTCTTTGGTCAACCAAGTCGGGGAAGCTTGAAGTGACCACACCTGCACTACTGCTCCTCTCACAGGCTTCTCAGGGCCCTCAAGTGCTCAGGGCTGGGTGACTTTCAGGAAGGCGGGGCACATAGGCTTCCCACTGGTGCCTACAGACACTAGTTCATCTCATGAAAGGCTCTGCCTTTGAGGCATTTTGTCCAGGTGGGCTGTCCCTACTCAGTTGTGATTCTCTCTTTGTAATGGCTAACCTTCACCATGGAAACGAAAACATGGTTACAAGTGGGGGAATCACCTTCCATCAGAAGATCCCAAGATGGAGTATGAACAAAGCAGGGTCTCAAGGGGGGCTCTCCAAGGGGGAGGCACACAAACGCCAGGTTGACAGGGAAGAAGTGGGGCAGTGGGAGAGCAGACAGACAGATCCTCAGCTTGCAGATCTCCCTTGAGGCAAACCTGAGTTGGGCAGGTCCTGGGAGCCTAGGAAGCTCAGCCAGGAAGGCCAACCTACCTGACCCATGACGTCCTCATCATAGGACAGCGTCAGGCCCAGGTCACCGATGTCCCCGTCATAGCGCTAAGGCAACAGAGAGGGGCCAATGTTAGGGCCAAGGAGGGCTATGTCTTTGAAGAGTTAACTCCTCCTTCCTCGAGGTGCTGCTGGGGCGGTGTTCACAACCATGCCTCCCACAGCTGGAAGCAGGAGGGCTGCTCGCCACCCTGAGGGAGGAGGTTAAACACATCCCAATAATCTAGCTACGGTGCTGATTTCTCAGCAAGCCATTTGCTCAGGAGTAAAGGACTTGAGCTTAAAGCTGGGGAGATAGCTCAGGAGCACGAATGGGAGGGCGTGTTCAAAAGGACATGGGGACTGCATTAATTACAGCAGCTCCTGTTCTAAGACATGAAGCCAGGGCAAAGCCGAGCCCAGCTAAGCCCGGGCTTAGCTGTGAGTTCACACTAGTGGTGGCTGGCTTAGTCATGCACCGTTCCACACTCACCTTGATGGAGGTGAGATTTTTATAGAACTCCGAGTCCAGAGAAGGAAGCTCATCCACGGAGCTGTAGAAGATGCTGTGGTGGTGCCCAAGCAGCTGGCTCAGGAAGAAGGAGGCGAAGGGCACGTCCACCACGATTCCCTGAGGGGTAAGACAAGAAGTTTTCAATTCCATAGTCCAGGATTCTGGCTCAGTGATCAGGCTGGGGAAGCTGAGGCTGCATGGGTGTCCCTCAGTGAACTAGCCCTCAGTGAACGTGCACTGGCGTTTCTAGGCCCTCCTAAGTTTCCAGTCTGGAGAGCCACAACCGCCCATTACTTAACAAACCCAACTGAGCTCCACCTGCACAGCACAGGGGCCGGGGCACAGGCTTCGGAGCCACATGGTCTGGGAATGAGATCCCAGCTTGACTACTACTGCCAGGCCAGGGCTGTGGGCATGCTCACTGCCAATGGGGCCAGTACAAACTTCTCAGTTACAGGAATCCAGAAGCACAACACTGATGCCTGCTAGGTTCTCAGGAGCCGTGGGCACAAGTGTCATGGGCACAGGTAGAGAGCACAGAGATAGGCTCTTACTTGGAAGCTGGCACGCAGCTTCCAGGAGGAAGCTACCTAAGGGAGGACTGGGGGGCACAAGGCCTTTGAGTGAGAACCACAGGTGTGCTACAGGGGTGCAGCTCAGGTCGTCTGGTCCCTGCTATGTGGGGGAAGGTGAGTGAACCATGAGACCAGAGCCCATGAGCTGGCTCCAAAGGGGCCCCCATAAGCTGGCTGCAGTGTGCATGCCATCCCAAGGGCTCGAAGTAGGGAAGTGAGTTTTGCACTTTGTGGTGAGTACAGTGGGGGAGACAGTCAGGGACAGGGCAGGCAGCTGAGCTCCACGGCAGTAAGAAAAGCAGACAGACTGAACGACGGCAGCGGCTGAAAGGGTAGGGAAAGGTGCCTCGGCAGATTTAGAAGGGTGGGTTACGCGAACTCTGTGGTGGTGGTGTCAAAGAGGACCACGAGGTTGAGGTGTGAGCACATGCCGTTCCCAACACAGAGCCAGTATGCCTTCACTGTTCTCATCAGTGCTATGCCTGGTGCAGGGAAGGAAGGGAGGCAGACAGAGGCAAGGCCTGGGGGATGGAAGGACACTCGGAATGTATGAGGCCACACTTCTCAGCTGGCCCAACCAAACAAAAACAAAAATATCCACTAGTAAAGCGTATAAAGCTGTCCTCCTAAAACGAGGAGTAAGCTTCCACACGTAGCGATGTGGCTCTGGCACATCACTCCTCCCTCCTCAGGTGAGGGCTAGCTGAGGACCCAGGCTGGGATGGGTTGGAATTCTGCTTCTACCACTTAAGTAGAAAGAAGGCTCCTGAAAAGTGAGTTCTCACAGTTTTAATCCTCTCATTCTTAAAGAACACACTCGAACATCACAGGACTGTCATGAGGATTAAGCGAGATGACATATGTAAAGCACCTAGCAATTATTTCAACAAATGTTGGTTCCTGCCCCTCACTTTGATCTACCCTAATATCAGGCTGTTTACACAGCTGGGCCTGATCCCATACACCTACACAAAGTTAGCAGTACTGCTCACATTTCATTTTTTTTTTTGTCTTTTTGAGACAAGGTCTCACGATGCAGTTCAGGCTGGCCTTGAGCTCACTTTGGAGACCAGGCTGGTCTTGAATGCGCAATGATCCTCCTGCCTCAGCCTCCTGAGTGCTGGGATTACAGGTGTGTGCCACCACATCCAGCTCACATTTCATTTCACACTTCTATTCCACATTCCCCAGTGTGCCTACCTCGTACACAGCCTTCCCCAGCATCTTCCCCACAAACTCAAACAGCTGCAGGTAATTCTCGTGGATGTAAGATGTGGGCGAGGGGTACAGTCGCTCATCCCCACTGGTTGTCTGCCAGGCAACAGGACAGGGAGAGGTGGAGGTTATACTTTGTCCTTACTTCTCTAACACCTCATGTTCTGCTGCCACCGACCCCACTCACACCCCCTTGGCCACCTTGAACAGATTGAGAGCTGGGTCAAACACCCTCTTGATGATCTCTTCCAAGAACTCCTTGAACACGCCGTCCTGATCGATCCCGGCCTCATCTACCCCAAGGTCATTGACGAACTTCACCCGGATCACACCCTTCATGGCATGCTGGGAGAGCTGTCGCAGCTGCTCATAGCCGTCCTGGCAAGGGCAGAATTACAGCCTATTAGGAACCATGGCCTCTGCATAACTCCGGGGTTCCCCGCCCACCCGTGGGAAGCTTTCCCAGTGCAGTAACCAAATGTGCAAACCAGGACATGCAGGCACACAGAAGAGACAGTGGTTCTCACTTGTTTTTAAATGAGAGCCTATTAAAAGGAAAGGTTCATCTCAGGGATGTGATGGCCTTGCTCTCTGGCAGAAGGAGACTGGCCCACAGGGATGCAGAATTGCCAGACAGGGAATCACAGAGTGAGCCACGACAAGCTCTGGGCCATCAGACAAAAGCTGGAAAGAACCTAGGATAAGACAGCCCCCCCCCTTTAATGCTAAGAATATGTTTTATCTCATGGGAGAAAAGTCAAACTTACAGAACATTATGAAATGAAAAACGCAAGTATTCCCCACCCCTTAGCTCCTTGAAAGCTACAGGACCTTGAGAGTCAAGCTGAGGAACCAAAGTTCTATCCTGAGGGCAAGTGGTAGAAGGGTTGTAAGAATTCAGGCAGGGTGCAACATGGCTCTATTAGAGGTAGAAACAGATGGACAGCAGAGGACAGGGGAGAAGTGGAGAGCCCAGGGTACAGCAGCAATGCTGAGCCCGGCAAGGGCAAGAGCTGCGGGGAGGAGAAGCCTCAGCAACCCCTCAGCTTGTGGCCCTTTGCTGGATGTAGCTCAGACTTAGCATGCTGGGGGCACACTGAGCACACACAGGGCTCTGGTTTTGATCAGTGTATGTTTCCTTTCTAGAACTCAACACACACAGCCCCCAGGATAGAAGTTTAAAATTCTCCTACTAAATTTTAGAGTATGTGTCTCTTTTTTTTTAAATGAGTGGGTCTCTTAATTCTAATCTGTCGAGGGCTTCCTAGCTTCTGGCCCTGTTATCCAGTGGATTACCGGTACGTGGGGTGTTCAGATTTTTATTTCTGAGCAGTGATTACAACAATCAGTGAACAGGACAGAATACACGGAGGAGCCCTTTGGCAACATGAGAAGCCCTATCACCAGGTAAAACTGCTATCTTTAGATAATATCACGTAGGGAGTTACAAGTCAACCTTAATGTGCTCCTGAGGCCACCTTTTCCGTTTTAGTCACAACTGCAGTGCTGTCACATGCTTTGCTAACTCTATACAGACTATCTCATAGCAGCCACCCATCTGCCAGTCTGGTCACCTTATCACGAAGCAAATGAGCTATCTACCAGTGTGGGACGGTTTCTGAGGGACCCTGGCTCTCTTCCTGCCATGCTTGTTTGGGGAGCCAAAGGACTGTCTCCCGAGGCCTCTTAATCTCATCAGGGATTAAGCTCCCAAGTTGCTGAGCTAAGGAGAAACGACCCCTATACCACCAGGAGGAACAGGAACATGGTTTTGTGCATGTGGACATAGAAAGTACTTTCTACGCACAAGAAGTCTGAGAACCATGAGGTCGGATGTAAAAAATGGAGAACTAGGATGTTACCAGGCAGCTGTAGGCTAACGGAAGATCATTCTGTTGGCATCATATTGAAGATGAGTGGAATATTCCCAAGTGCCCCTGAGTGTGTGCAGATTCACCACTCTGCTTTAGATCACACCCCCCAACCATAACCCCGTGGCAGAGACATGAGGGGCTGAGGGGACTGAAGAGGCTGTGAGCCTCCTAGAAGCAAGGCTTTTCAAGCTGGCCATGAACCAGGGGCAGAAGAAGAGCTCAGGACAGGCAGGGCATGCTGGCTCACGCCTATAGTCCCAGAACTTTGGAGGCTGAGGCAGGAGGATCATAAATTTGAGCTCAGCTTGGGCAAAACAGGGAGATCCTGTCTCAAAAAATAAAAAAGGCTGGGGATGTAGCTTAGTGAGAAGGCCCTGGGTTCATTTCCCAGTACTGAAGGTAAAAAAAAAAAAAACTCAGGACAACTGACATCAAGTTTTCGATGCCCCCTTGTGTTCAGATCAAGCAAAGGCCACTGGGCTGTCATTTTAATAGCCAAACCACCAGATTATTAAACAAATGCCCCTCTTCCCTTCTTGATTCACCCTCATGATGAAGTATGTGCTATGCTCTCATAGTAAGGAGAGAGGAAAAGGACTTTGCCTAAAACCTAAGAGAGGCATTCTTCCATCTCTGAGGAGGGGGCTTTGTTTTAAGGGGTCAGCCCCGCAGAACCGGGTTGCTGAGTGGTTTCGTTAGCGATGCCACATAAAGAGGGAGCTAAGCAAGCCCACTGCTCCCAGAAGACACTAAGGCTACACTACACTCTTCTGAGGTGGTTGCTGTCTGCCTGTGGGGGAGTGTGATGGGTGGGGGGACATGGAAGCTGCATCCAAGTTTGAGGAAGGAAGTGGTGGCAAAGGGAGTTTTACAACACAGCGAGGCTGCTTCTTTCTTTGAATAAAAGCAGAGGTTGCAAACCAGTGGCCCGCAGGTTGAATTCAGTGGGAGTTATCTGACCTTCCAGGCGCCTTACAAAATTAATTAGTTCATGGCACTTGAGTGCCCTTATGCCTACTTTAAAAAATTTATTTATTTTTGTCTTGCTATATGGTCCAGGCTGGCCTCAAACTCAGTACGTAGCTCAGGCTGCCTCACGATCCCGTGCCTCAGCCTTCCAAGCGCTACGACTACAGGCATGCGCCACCATGCCTGACTTATCTCTGCTTTTAAGAATGTCAAAGACATCAACTGTTTAAAACATACCGTCTTTTCCAACAGCTCCTGGTGTCAATCACCAGGGGTCAGGGGAACTATAACAAGCTGTCTGGTAAGAAGCAATACCAGCGTGGCAGGGCTGCACTGTGGCAGAGATGAAGGGCTGCTGTTCGGTGCCACATGCTGGTGGAAGCCTATGTGGCCCTGTGCTGCCACTGGGTCCCTTGTTTATCTTATACCGACAGAACCTGCAAATGAGGAACTGTGGTCAGAGTGGGATACCAGGTCTACAGAGCAAACACGGCAGATAAATCAAGCCAAGCCTCTCCTGGGATTGCAGACTTGCTCAAATGTCAATGTCACTGCTGGCAGGATCTGCACTAATGGGTAGGCTGTGCACTATCCAACTCAGGGAAGGCCGTAGCATGTCTGGGACAGCTGTCGTAGGGACACTCCTTTTACCAAGAGAGGGTTCCAGCAGATTGTTGTCAGGGTATAAAGAATCCTATCTTGGCAGAGCACACTTTGTGATAGGTTCCCACAGGCCTTACCACTCACCTCATAATAAATCAGTATGACAGCTTTCTGACATACAGGGGAAGGTATCTCAGGACAGGGCAACTACAGTGGTACCTTGGTTCACAACTTAATTCGTTCCACTATGCTGGGGAAAAAATGGCCATGTTCCTGTCTGTGTATAAAAGATGTTTGTGCATAAAAGATCCTGTGGTTATGTTTGTCACCTGATGCAGAGTTCCCAAACAAACAAAAAAATTTTGTCAAATGCTTCTGTTTGCAAACAAAACATTTGTGAACCGAGGTACCACTGTACTTTATTTTACATGAAGTTGCCATATGCTGGTGACTTGAGACACTGGGTTTGGCTTCAGTGGGCAACTTTCCTGGTATCTCGTAAGTTTACATGTACAAAGACTTTCCAACTCTGGGATAAATGTATCTCTGCAGGGCTCAGTCGGCAAAGCACCCCATTCCACCTGTACAACCTTCTCAGGCAGGGGTATAGTAAAGTGCCTGCTGGGACAAGGAAGTCTGTACAGACCTGGAAACAGCAGTGCAGTCACTGCAGCTGACATCCTGTCCTCATTTCAAAGAGGCGTGAGGAGTCTGATGCTCTAGCCCAGGGACTGTTGGGAGCAAAGGAAGACACGGTGTATCCCCATCACTACGGGCACATTTAACCAAGCAGACTGTTCAGAGTCGTCTACAGGACAAATGGCCTGTGTTGGCTCCTGGAGCCTTGATTTCAAGGTCATGAGGCCAAGACGTGATGAGAACAGTTCAGAGGCAGTAGATCATCCACTACAAAGTGGATGTGACAGAGCACAGTTCTTTGCAATCAGCTTCTACAGGCTTCACCACTCACCTCCAACATCCGGGACCGTCGAATAGTAATGTGAGTGACATGAGGAGAGGCGGAGCTGGTTTCCACAAGCCCCAGTTTTTCTTTTTCTTTGGTAACCATGTTTCGGAAGAGGAGAACTCTCTGAAATGAGCAAGGGTAGTGGGGGGAGACATGACAGAAACAGGGTCAACAAATGATACTTCCATAAAAACCACTCTGCAGAATTACTGAAATTTAAGTCGTGTGAGATGCAACCAGAATGGGATGCCTTGATATGTGCTGCTGGTCTCATGAGAATATTAAACATTCTCAAGAGCACTTTTGGAAATGAGAAATACAGCTGAACTCATGCCAAGGGAGAAGTGCTCCAGACAAAGTGGTTAAGCTGCAGCCAGAGCCCAGCGAGGGCTCCAGCAAAAGAGCATTCTCCTTATGCAGTAAACTACCCATCACAGAAACTGGGCGGAAGAGCAAGCTACAGAGGTGCTTCCCCTACCTGCGCACGCTTTAGGGGAAATCAATACTATGAATTTAAAACACAGAAACAACTCAGATAATTTTTCCTATTGTCAGAAGTGAAAAGAGGATCCCACAGTATAAAAGTTCCTGGCCTTTCTGTCCGCCTCCTCTGTGCCCCAAGTATACCACTGTCCCACCAATAATATTTCTCAGTTAAGACTTGGATAGAACGGTCTGCCTTTAGCCTTGAGATTCTGATGAGGCCTTTACTTTCTACTTTTTTAACTACTTTCTACTTTTTTAAGAGATGGGGTCTCACTGTGTTGACCCAGCTGGCCTCAAACTCCAGGGCTACTGCTGTCCTTCTGCCCCTGCTTCCTGAGTTGCAGAACTACAGGCCCACTCCACGGTGCCAGCAAGGCACCCCTTCAGGAAACCAGGAACCCTCGTATCATCCTGGGCTTGAGAATGAAGTCAGTGGAAGGAATGCATATGCCAACCACAGCTGCTTTTTTTTTTTTTTTCAAATGGCAATCTTCCTTGAAAGTCCAGAGCCTTAGTAAACACAAGAATAGTACAAATGGGAACAAAAACAATAGTAATAGGATTTGCTATGGAGGGGGAAGACTAGTGTACGCTCGCTTACTTATCCCTTATATTAACTCTATAAAGAAAATATGATTGAAGCAGAAGAAGTAATTGTCAATGGCCCCTAAGAAGGGAGGGTGAAGGCATTTCGTGGAGGGACTACTGTTCAGCAACGCACCACCAATTTAGAAACAAGGACTGAAGCGCCCTGAATAGTATCACAAGCTGTGAGGGTGCCAAGGCCACCCACAGGGAGAGGGGCTGAGGACCCAAGGAGGAGGGTTGGTGATGCAGCCAAAGAACACGCCCACCTCTTCCGTCTAGGACAGGGGAGCTGCACAGGTATTTAAGTCACGTGGGGCCATGTGATATATACGTCCTGACTCTTCCCGTGACTCCAAATCTTTAGCATGATCACTAAAAGGAGGGGAGCTATTTTGTGTTTTGTTTTCTTCTGGTACTGGAAATCGAACTCAAGACCTTGTGCTTGCCAGGCAGGTGCTGTGCTGCTGAGCTAAATCCCCAGCCCCGAACTATCTTTTCTTTTGTCTTTTTTTGTACCGGGAATCGAACTCAGGACCTTGTGCTTGCCACACAGGCACTTGTGCCGCTGAGCTACATCCCCAGCCCCAACCCCATTTTGTGGAGCCTGAGGTGGAAGAGGAGTGCCATATCCAGTTGATCCACTGTGTGCAGGGGCAGTTACATGGAAGCAGAACCGCAGGGCCATGGCAGAACCAGCCTCCCAGGAATCACAGAAAGCCTAGATCAGGCTCTGGATTCCCACAGGATGTGGAAGAAGCTTTAAAGGAAGTTCATCCAATCCTGAAGAGTCAGGAAACCTCAGCAACCCAGTGGACAGCAGGCTAAGGATCACTATCCTCACTCTGCAGATGAGGACACCCCGACTCACCCAAAGTCACACAGCTACTGAGAAAGGGGACCAGATCCGTGTCCACTGACAGACCACCATACCACAGAGCCTGCCCACCCCACACCAGATAGGTCTTCTGGGCTGAACTAAGAGACAAAGACCTCAAGTCACAGTTGGAACATAAACAGGTAGTGAACAGAGACTGAAGTGCTGCATGTATGAGCGAGTCATACACACAGAGCTGAGGCTTGAAAGTGCTGCGAACAGGAAAGGCATTATAAATCATCCACTGGAGTACGGTTAAGGACAGGAGAAAGGCTCAGCAATTAGGGCGGAGGGCATAACAGTAATGGATGAGAGCGAGACCTTGCTATTGTCCTTGTGCACTCCAGCAAAACCCACAGTTAACCCTGTGGAGGGAGTGGGTCGGGTGCTACCCCTTAACACTATGTAAGAAGAACCTGCAGTATCTCTTAGATCAGCTGCAACCTTCAACCCCCAAGGGAAGAGAGACAGCAGGAGCTCTTGTGGACTGCTGTGCAATCACTGGTAGCAGGACAGGGCCCGGAGATGAGGAGGGACCTTGCCACCCCAAGTGTGGGGATTTGAGACTCAATGGAAAATGGCCTTGATGGTAATCTTAAGCAAAATTCCCAAAGGAGGGGAAAAAAAGATTAGCACATGGCCTCGACTCACAGATAGTGCAAATGAATACTAAAACTATAAACTGCTTTGAACTAGTAGAGCACACTGTTTCCCTCAAAGGTGTAAATATCCTTTGGCAACCTCCAACGCCACTGTCTGGACCTGCACATGCACAGAATAGAGACTCCAGACTGCATATGGGAATGCTAAAGTCAAAGGCTGAGTTCACGGAAACACAGGACCAGGATGGGGGGCCACATTTACATCAGACACTACCACACCAGAGACTGCCAGGAGAGGAGCTGGAGACTACTTCAAAAGAGCAATAGTTGAGAAACAAAAACTGCTACACTTGGAAAACAGCAGACTTGGAAGGGAAATGGGAGTTGTTTGCGAACCTCAGGAGACAGTCCTCAGACTAGAGACCGTATGTAAGGGATGGCTGTTCAGGGACCAAGGGTTACAGAGCATGAGATCAGCTTAAGATGAGGAAGTACCTTCTGTCTTTGGAAGAGTACAGCAGTAGACAGCCTGCTTTGTAAAGCTGTGTGTTACTGGCAGAGTCCGGGGTACTGTGAGTGTGGGGCTCCCTTACGGAGGCACGTGTGACTAAGCAATTATCAGTACGACCCCTCATTCCAGAGTCTGTCCAGTGCAGTAAAAACTTAAACAGCTGTATCATTTGCATATGACTGTTTGAGAGGGAATGATTAGCAACTGTAAATACTAAAATCAAAGTCAAGCCGGGCGGCCAGCACATGGGGAGGCTGAGGCAGGAGAATCATTGTGAGTTCTAGGCCAGCCTGGGCTACACAGTGAACTCAAGGCCAGCCTGAACTTCATAGTGAGACCCTGTCTCAAAAAGACAAAACAAAAAAGAAAACAAAGTCAAAACTCAGAGAGTAGTGAGGATTAAGTACCTATGAAAAGTGAGATTTAATTTACAAAAATGAGGTTTATGCTCTTTTCAAAAACTATACCTATCTTGAGGGGAAAGAGAAAGAAAAAGAGAACAGGCAAGGAAAGGTACCCTAGGCTCTCGGGAGGCTCTCCTGAGAGGGCACAATGTGGTCACAGAAGTCAGCAGATAGTGCTAGAGTGCCCGCTGCTCACCGGGGACGGGAACGACACTTTCCTGCACCTTCTGGACACTCCTGCCACAGCACCTGACCCTTCCCAAGTCTCTCTCATCTCCTGGGGATCGATCGCTACAACCCTTTCCGGATCTCCTTCCTTCCCTGGATTCCTCCTCCTCTCCTCTTAGCAGCAAGTGATCTATCCCATGAGGCCTAGCTCTGCTGCAAGGTCCGAGTCCCGCCCTCATGCCGGTCAGTGCAGAGGAGGCTGCAAGCTGCCCACATGCAGTCTCTCTCCAGCCCCAGCTTTTCTCCTACACTCTAGAGCCACCAGGAACCACAGTCATCTCACATCCCACCCACTCAAAGCTGAGCTCACATGTCCGGGACCAGCCTGTCTTTGTTTCCACCTCAGGGACAGTGCTCCGAACTGCGGGCAATAATTCAGGAACTGCCTCCATTCCCCATTCCTGGCTTCTGAGTGTCAGGCTCTGAGGCCTTAGGTGCTAGCTCCTTAAATGTCTTTTGACCTAATCATTGTTCTACTCCATCGGCCCTTCCCTAGTGCTGGCCAGCTGGCTTTAATGGCTTCTGCCTCTGGCCAGTCTTCTAAACTGTGGCCAGAATGATCTTTCTAAAGTACAGCTCTGAGTTGGATGTGGTGGTTCATGCCTATAATCCCACCTATTTGAGATACTAAGGTATGAAGATCACAAGTTCAAAGTCAGCCTGGGCAATTTACTGAGACATTCTCAAAAAAAAAAAAAGGGCAGAGGTATAGCATTTATCTGACATGTGTGAGGCTCTGGATTCAATTCTTAAGTACTAAGGGGAAAGAAAAAAAAGAAAGTACAGCTCTGACCAGGGGTCCCCTAGGCCTACAATCTGGCAGTGGCTTTGGTTAACATCTAAGCTGCTAGCCCTGGTTTCTAAGGCCCTTCTTGCTGTAGTTCCTACAAACTTCTTCCACTCCACCCGACTCCCCCGTTTATCCTCTCCAGCCACACAGTATGCCTCCCTTTTCTCTTGGCCTTGACCTTTAAACCCATGCACTTTTGCTTGTGGTGCTCTCTCCGGACCTGTTTCCCCACTCCTAGCTGGATTCCCTCAGCCCGTGTCCCACTGCACCTGAATTCACACTGCCTTCTCCATCTCTGCAGCCCCAGCACCAGCGCAACCTTTCAGGGTAAGAGGGATCACCACTGTGCTTGCAGAGCAAGGGATGCCATATGTCCATTTCTAACTGCAAACACAAGGATGGGAGGGCAAGAACTGCATGGGATAGAAGAACATGCTAGTAGCCCAGCTCTGAGTGCCACTCACGTTTTTGTGTGGAATGACATGAGGGATGTACTGCAAGACCAACTGGGCGCGTTTTCGGTCCTTGTCAAGTTCCTGGAAGAGCACACTAGGTTTGAGATCCCTTAAAAAGAAAGATATGGGTTACTAATTATTAAAACAGAAAAACCATCCTGGAGGGCCAAATCTTGCCTTTGCAAAATTCTATGGGAACACAGCCACACCTGTTCGTTCACACATTCTGGCTGCAACAGCAGAGGGAGCAGCTACGACAGACTGGTCCACAGCACCTAAGAGCAACTGGCCATTTACTGCATTTGTAAGGCCCTGCTCTGGTGTCAGAGCTCCCACGGTTATGTGAGAGCTGGCATGTCACTGACAGTAATGCTGACACAGCCCTTCTGGCGGGGGATGGTACACGCAATGGAACCTGGGGCCTTGGCACCGAGTTACATCCCCAACCTTTTTTCAAATTAAAATTTTGAGACAGGGTCTCATGTAGTTGTTAAGTTGCTTGAACATGGGATCCTCAGAGTGCTGGGATTATAGGCATACCACCATGACCAGCATGGCATGCTTTTAAGTTTGTTTAGACACTGTCAGAGGATCCCCAACAAAAATAAAAAGGACCAAAAGCAGTTTTGACCCTGGTGATCCTGCTGATAGAAACTGCCATGTAACTGTCATACCCCATGGCTCAGGTCAACTCAAGGACTTTCTCTTCTCAGTCTGGATAAGAAACAGCGACTGAGAGTGGTCCTGCTTTGTTGCCCTTAATGAACTTTGATCATGCTGGTGTAACAGAAGGGTGCTGGATGCTGCGTTCTTACAGGTGTGTCACAGCAAATGGGTGTACGGGGTGGAGGGGGAGAAGGTGTTCCGCCATGGGCCATGACAGGGGCCCTGGCTGCTCCTCCCTACCCTGATGCTCACTTTCGTAGCCAGTGGTCTTCAGGGGCAAAGCGCCTCCGGCAGTCCCGCTCATACAGCACCATCAGCCACCCATGGACAGACTGGAACAGCTCCAAGGTCTCACCTTTGGCATTCTCTATGGAGCAAACGAACAGGAGTGTCACATTTGTGGAAAGCGGTGAGAGGTTGAGGGGTGGGGTGTCCTGAGGCCCTTAGCAAGTCTTAACTCTCTGGCTTTGGAAATGTCTGCGGAACTGAACAGATTAAAAGGCCCCCTGGGAATGTACTAAATGTTTGCAGGGCCTGGTATCTCAGACAGTCACTCATGCTACTGTCTATGGTTCGCCATCCAAAGGTTCTTTTACTCTAAGGAGCTCGGTACTGAACAACTGGAAACTCTTTACAAGGTAGACTCTCATCTGAGCTGTGAACTGGTACACATTTTATCCTCATGAAAATCATTATCAGTAATCAAGAGAGTCAGGGTAAGGGGAATCATCATTAATAAGCTTTGACATATACAGGCCAGTCCTGAAGGATGCTTGGGAGAGTGAGACACGAGACTTCTGTAGCAACACTACTGTCTTAAGCGGTCAGAGAGAGTGAAGAAATAAAACTTCTGGTCATAATGCACAGAATAAACATGCATTTTCTATTAACTGGTAGACAATAAAGTTGTGTTACAGATTCTTTAGCCTCCCTGGGTTTAGTATTAATAAAAGGAGGGCAGACATGTTTACCTTACCTACGATTCCGTCCCAGATCATCTTAAACACGAAAGAATTCAGAAAAGAGGATATGGTGACCAGCTCTTCCAGTTTGAATGAAATTTGTTCTTCATAAACTTCAATGTCATCAAGGATCCTAAATGAGAGAATGATTCAGAACTTCTCACTGAGAGATGGAAAATAACTTGAGATCTTACTGTTTCTCAGATGAAATAATGTGAAGAAGTAAGCTCTATTTTAGATACTTCAGGTCAAATATAACGTCTAAGATTTGCTTCAAAGAAATCTGGAAGAAGAGAGCAAGTGGGGATTCAGTGAAGCAAAACTGCAGAGTTGGTGATGACATGAAGGTTCATGATTTTAGTTTCTATTTATCTGAAGTTGTCTGTAGTAAAAGATTTTTAAAAATTAAGAAAAAACTCTACCCTTGTATTTGTCTTACTCATTAAGATCTGTGACACTTTCTTGCTTTCTGCTTGGATTTGTGCCTCACTGCTGCCTAAATGGGAAAGGCCACTGACTGAGTCCATGCTCCCTAAGAAAGCCATGGAGCTCTGGTGCACATCTGGGACAGACACTGCGGCACTTGATGAGTATTTGTGAGTCAATGAAGAGATGTCCGAAAGAAGACAGCAATGAATGAACAGGTGAGACACAGCTCTAACTAAAAATTTGCTAAAACTACTCAATACACTTTAGAATTTGATGCACTCCTCAGTTACTTTTGACTCAGGAGCTAAGGGTGTGTTCCAGCTGCTACTGACTCTGTTCTCACCTCCACCTGCTTACTGAGCCCCTTCCTCCACAATGCCGACCCAACCCGCCACTTACATGTCCCTGGTCCCTTCCTGCTAAGGTCTTACAGCCTGCACGTAATGCCCTGAAGTGCACTCTACCTTGTAACTCTTCACCAACCTTTCGGGAAAAGGTGGACTTCACACCAAATATATCAGGAAACAGGTAAGATTAAGGAGCAAACAATTTACTAACTTCCCACCCTTTGCTTGACACTTTACTGAGTTGCTGACATTCCTTTTCTCACTTACTCTTTATCACATCGGTAATGTTACGTCCGTTCTACTAACAAGCAGACTGAGGCTCAGAGAGGTTAAGCAATTTGCCTAGTGTCAGCTTGATAATAACAGTAACAGCATAAAACAAACTCTTCCTGTGTGTCAGGGCTGTGCTGATTTGGTATTAATGATCTCTTTTAATCGTTAGCACATGCCTAAAAGGTAGGTGCTGCTGTTATTCCCATTCACAGATGACGTAACAGAGTCTCAGAGCAGGGTGGAATCCCTTAGTCCCTTGCCCAGGGCATCACAGTAAATGCTGAGCCAGGTTTTGGACCCTGGCACTCTGACCCTGCAATTTTCCAGTGATTTATCCAGCATAGTGACTCAGTGGCTGAGCTATGATTTGAACCTATTTCCAAGAGACTCCAAAGGCTACACTCAGTGGTACTGACCCAACTGTCCTGAAAGACTGGGGACCATTCCTGAACACCATTCTTGAACATGTCGCCCGCTTTGTTAATGTTTCCTTGTTATCTATCTATCTATCTATCTGTCTCTTTTTCTTTATGAGATCCTTGAGCAAAGGGTTTCACCGTTTTGCTCAGGCTGGTTTGGAACTCATGAGCTCGTGACCCTACCTCACCCTCCCAAGTAGCTGGATTATAGGCATGTGCCATCCTACCTGGCTCTTGTCTAGTTCTTCTAATGACCCTGACACAGGTCCTAATATACACAGTAACCATCAGCTGTTACTTGCTTCCTGACACTAGTCTGATCTAAGAAATGTACTCAGCCCCACAGCAGTCAACCTACGTGATGAGGTGCCGGGAACAGTCACAGAACAGCATCAGCATGGCCAAGAGCTGCTGGGACTCTTCAGTGTCATTGTTCAGGCATTCCAAGAAGAGCTTTAGCCCTCCATGGGGCCCCAGCTCACAGATAAATGCCCACAGTTTGGGCAGCAGGTCATCAAGGTAAGTGAGACCTGGAAAAGGATAGAGAAACCCAAGCTTCAGGTGGCAGCTCCGTCTCATCAGTTATTTCTCCTTTTCATTGGGAAAACAAAACATTTAAATCCATTATTGATCGTTTAATGTGATGAGAAGAAGGTGCAACTAGGAAAAGCATTATCACCCTGAGGATCACAGTGACAGTAACAGTTAACGCTCAGTAGGTGCTTACTGTGTGCCAGATACCAGTTTAGACATTCGGCACGCATTGCCCATCTGCTTGTGAAACCCAGTGTCATCCCATTTTCCCCCTAATACTGGGAATTGAACCCGAGGGGAAAAAAAAATTAAATTTTGAAATTTTGAAATAGGGGCTAAGTTAGCCATGATGGCCTTGAACTTGTGATGCTCCTGTGCCAGCCTCCCGAGAAGCCGGGACTACGGGCGTGCAGCAGGCTGCCCAGCACAATGTCATCTCCATTTTATAAGGGAGGAAAATGAAGCACAGACGAGCTAAGTAATTTGCCCAAGACCACACAGCCAATCAATGTCAGAGCCAGGAAAAGAACCCAGATCAGTGTGAGTTAGTAATTATGTTTTAACAGGGATCAGCAAGTTTTTCTGGAGAGGGCTAGGCTGCATGTGCCACATGGTCTCTGTTGTTAAAATAAAAATTTGAGACAAATTGAATTTAGCAGAGTTTAATTGAACAAAGGATGGCTGACACATTGTACAGCCCTCAGGACCAGAAGAGGTTCAGAGTGTTCTGCTCTGAAAGTGGGCAGACAGTGATTATCATAACTCAACGCTTTCTTTATTTGAACACGCTCTGTCTGATACACTGGCTGTCTGTTGACTGAAAACTGCTGCTGTGATTGGTTTAGACTCAGCTATTTGTTTCAAAAGTACTCTCCGAAGTCAGGTTTTCAGTTTGCTTACATACTTAAGGTTTGGGTGGGATGACGCGGCCTACTACTTAAGGTGACGAACTGCTAAGTTAGGGTTAAGGTTCATCAGGGAAGGACTCAGCGTATGGAGGAATCTTCAGGCCAAGTTCAGTTTCACACTGCCGCAACTGCCCAGTGCTGTCACTGCAGCAGAAAGGGAGCTTACACGCATGATGTAAATTAACGGATTTGGCTGTGTTCTAGTAAAACTTTATTTACAAAAGTAAGTGAGCTGGCTTTGACTCATGGGCTGAACCCCGTCTTAAACTATCTTCCGGGCTCACCCTCATTTAGCGAAGTTTTCTTCTCAACTACTATTATTCTGTATTAAAAATGAGAAAGCAATGAACGACTGTAGCAGAGATGGTCTGACATATTATGTAAGACTAAGCCTGGGGAAGCAAAAGGCGAAGCAGAGGACATTCCAAGTCAGCTTCCTGATGGCTATCCAAGGCCTCAGACACATGAGGTTCATCACTGGTACATTTAAGTCTAATAATGCAGACACATAGTGACTAGAAAGTCTGGATCTGAAACTCCACGTGTTGCTGAACAGATGGCAGGGTCACGTTTCTATTTGAGGAGCGGTTACTTCTATTTGAGTCCTTATAATATTTGCAAATATATGCTTCAAATAGAAGTAGTTACTTTTATTTGAGCCTTCTTATTTTATAAAGTACACTGAGTTACTTAGTTGTGAAAGAAGAATTGTTTGGGGAAGATACAATAGCCTGGGGGAGGCATACGGAGAATTCAAAGCTACTTAAGGATGCTTAGAGTTGAACTAACGGATTATAAAGGAGGCCAAGAAATGTAGCATCCATTGAGTTATTACTCCTAAAAGTTTGACCTCACACTTTCAAGGGCAGGGAGATGTAGTTAAAAAGAAGCCTTTAAAGTGCAAAGGTTTCTTCACCAGGTTGGTGGGTATACGGGTGCTCAGCTCATAGTTTTTAGGTAGTCTATGTTGTACTACACACACTAAAGACTACAGAAACCTTATAATTTAATACAGGTTAAAAAAGAAACAGTAGTTACATTGTGGGGATCATAAAGAAGAAAAGCAACTGCCTTCACATTATGTGCTGCCCATGGTGTAGACGGAAATAGTCACAGCCACAAACACTGGCTCACTAGAGACAGAAACGGGGATGCAGGGCCCTGGAGAGAGACGTCTGAGGACCAGAAAAGCTCCAGTGCCGCCAGGGTACACGAGGAGCATGAGCAAAATGTGAGAGTAAAGACATAGTATTTTTAAACAAATATGCTCTTTTCTAAAATCTGACTTATACAACTAAACTAATAGACTGGATACCACAAACACATTTTAGACTAGTCTTTTACTTGTAAAAGTACGTACTTTCATGTTGGCCAAGCACCTTCTTTTTGGGTCCTCTCACTTGGGAAAATGAACTCAGATGTGAGCTCCTCTTACACTAGACACAGGTGGCCCCCTCACACTCCTCTCAGCCAGGATGCTGCCAAGCCTTCAGGTGCTAGGAAGCATCTGGCGTGGGGTCCTCCTTTCCCTCCTGCCTCTCTTTCGGGAACCTGCCCCAGGGCTTACGCTCCATTTTCTGCGCTATTTTGACAGTACACTCAAGGCTTTCTGGATACCTCTGCCCATACCTGTGACAGCCTAACACAATGCTCAAGTCCCTGCAAGCCACGTCCCCAAATGCACCTCAGCTTAGCAAATGGCAGCACCATGCACGCAGGAGCTTGAGCCAAAAACTAAGCATCACTTTTGAAACCTTTACTCACTGTGCCCCCAAATCTAATCTACCAGTAAGGCTAGAGACTGCACCTCCAAAACACATCTGAAACCTCCCCATCTCCATCTCCACCACTGTTACTAGGCCAGTGGGTCTCAAGCAGGGTGATTCTGCCAAAGCCCCTCAGGGGGCACTTGGCCACACCTGGAAACACGCTTGGCTGCTACAACTCGGGTAGAAGAACTTGGGTAGAAGGTAGGGGCTGGTGGGCCAGGACTGGTAAATGTCCTACACTGCACAGACAGCCCTCTGCAGCAAAGAATTATTGGCCCAAAGGGCCAACGCCGCAGAGGCCGAGAAACCCTGCTCGAGTCCTCACCAACACTGATTCTCCTTATTCTCAGTTTCTCAAAGTGGTCATCACTTTGGGTGAGCCACCCTTTACTTACACAATGGAGTCTCCCCACTACTAGAATACAGTCTTCTCGTGGGCAGAGGCCTGACTTAGCTGTTTACGTCTGAGTCCTCAGGGTTTTACAAGGACGGGTATTTTATAAGTATTTAAAGAATGAGTAAGTGTGAAAGGCAGAAGCAGCAGTATGTTAGGATTTTAAAAAATGTACAGTGCCGGAGTTCTTAACCCTTTATGTAGTGACTGGTTTTCATTTTCAAGGGCCTTTTGAACTCATAATACGAATTCATACCAATGACTCCTGCACTGCAATCCAAAAGCCCTCAATGCCCAATTCTGTGTTCAGGGGAGGGACTTTCTTCCTTGCCCAGCTAAAAAGGAAAATGTTTAGCATATCCATGTGATGAGATATCATGCAGCCAACAAAAATGAGGTTTCTGAAGGGTTGCTGATATGATAAAGTGACCAATGGAAAAGGAGGGATAAAATAGTGTATGTCAGTTTAAATATATTTATATTACGTGTGTAATGCACGCAGGAACGGGTGTATACCAGCTAACTGCGGGGTTGTGGGATGAAGAGTGGTGTTTTGTTTCGTTTTTGCTTCCCTATCTTTTCTAGTTTTCGATTCAGAAAATACAACATTTTAAAAGTTGTACTTTATAAATGAAACAAGAGCCAGGTAAGGAACAAAATAGAAGTGCTCGGAATGAGGCTGGCTTGAGCTACTTAAAGCAAGCCTACCAATCTCTCAAAAAGAATAATTAAAAAACTGCCCTCCGTCAGAATCAACTTTCTAAGTAAGTCAAGGAAACCAGAGGACAATCGAAGGTCAAGTTTTGCTAAGAAAAACAGCCTGCCGAATTTGAAGCATGGCACTGCAGCTTTGGGACGCCGAACCTGTGAGTATCTGCAGGCGGATCTGCGTCAGAGTTGTCAGCGAGGTCTGGTAGAGGACACAGATATTGCAAACCTTCTGGACCTCTGCAGAGTCGACGCGCTTCCCCCCGACAGGCCTGAGAATATTCCGAACTGACGCAGACTTCTGAAATGCACGCTTGAGAAGGCCTGGCAGGGAGGAAAGAAGAAAGGGAAGCAGAAGTTCAGCCATCTGCCAGATCCCACCAGGTCAAGGGAAGAACATTTCGACAGAAGTCCACATTCACAGACAGGGCCAGGGCCAGGGCCAGGGCCAGGGCCAGGGCCAGGGCCAGAGCCAGGGCCAGGGCCAGCCAGTGGGGCTGCTGCTTGGACTCTAGACATTTCTTTGTAGGCTGGGCATGGTAGTGCACACCTATAATCCCAGCACTCCCAAGGCTGAGACAGGAGGGTCACCACGAGTTCAAGGCCGCACAGTGAGTTCAAGGCCAGCCTGAACTGCATAGTGAGACCCTCTCAAAAGAATAACAACAAAAAAGACATTTCTTTGGGATAAATTAGAGAAACATTAATGATGGGGTTTTCTGGTCTAACCCAGCAACCTCTTCAGAATATCAGAAAGTCTCTCCGAACAAGCCAGGCATACTCATCTTTGACATGTGATTCTTCTACTATACCAGCTAATTTCAGAAGTCATAAAAGTAAAACTTCAGGGGACCATGTTAGGAGAGAGTGAAAGGCACAGTCTCAATTCTCTCCACTTTTGGAGGGACATGAAACATAACAACTCCAAGGTCTGACATTTGTTTCTGAACACTACTTTTGTCTGAAGCCTTCTCATTTACATCCCGCTGAAGTTACATCTGGCGAGCCCATACTCACTGTTAGCTAGAAGACGGCTATGCAGTGTATGAGTGGCAAAAGAAAACCCACTCTGAAACTGAAAATCTGCTGCAGGTGGAATACTTCATTGCACACATATTCCCGGCATTTCCTGTCTGTCTGTCTGTCCATTCTGCCCACCCACCTGCCTCTCTCTTTGCCCCCTCCCTTCTGTACAGGGATTGAATCCAGGGCCTTTGCACTGAGCTGTACTCCCAGCCCTTTTCCATTTTTGACGCAGTGTCTTGCTAAGTCACCCAGGTTAAGGTTGAACTTGTGATCCTCCTGCCTCACCCTCCCAGAACGCTTGGATTACAGGTGTGTGCCATCGTGTCTGGCTTGCATTTCCTTAACTTTGATCAGAAAGGGCAACAAGAAACCTTTTCACAGCATTCACTTCTGATCCCACAGGAGGCGTGCTGCTGAGGTGCCGGCCTGCTCTGTGCCTCAGCGGCTTCTTTATGAGAAGCCCCACATGGGATTCATTTTATGATTAAAACTTAATAAAGTACCGTATCTCTAAAGAAACGGGTCTTTTTCTTTCTTTCTGGTAATGAGAAAGGGTCCAAATAACCCTTTTCATTTTGGCTACTACAAAGCTCATGGCCAAACTAAGCTCAGGGACAGTCACATGATGTATTCATTCATAAATCGTCTCTTTTTTTTTTTTTGGTTTTTCTCTGGTACCGGGAACCGAACTCACGACCTTGCGCTTGCCAGGCAGGCGCTTTTGCCGCTGAGCTAAATACCCAGCCCCATAAATCGTCTCTTAAAACAGAGACGATTTAAGAAGCCTCGGAGTCTCTGGGGGAAAGAGCGTGGTAGATAGTGGAACATCCACACGGGAGTCAGGAGCTGCCCTTGGGCCCCGCAGAGCCCTGGCAGGCTGGCTCGGCCACTCACTTTTCACGGGAAGCACATTCTGTGGGGACGCCGGCCGTGCGGGGGCTGGCTCCTGGTGCTCCAGCAGCTTCTTGCTCAGGATGTCACTGAAGAAGATGCGGATGAGAGGCACTCCCCACAGGAACTGCAGCTGTTTGGTGACCAAGTACATGGACTCGTTGAGGCTAGGAGAGAGCAGAAGACAGGCATGGCAGCTCCACTGCTGCCTGACTAGGGACAGCCTGCTCCACTTTCCAGTGGGCCTCAGACTTGGAGGTGCAGCTCAGGCCTTGCACACAGTACAGCAGAGAAAAGAGTAACACAAAAAAGAAATGGAACCAACAAACTGTCACTGAGGGCTGGAGATACTGAATCTCTGTCTGTCCATCACTGCACCCAAACTTCCTGGGCTGCCACGAGTGTTACTGGTTCTCCCAGACCCACAAACTCCACGTGACACAGACATCCTAAAGACAGCTCCCTATCGCTGTACGGACAAAAGCCTTCTCATGCTGGCTGTGCGGTCTGCCTTCTGGTTGGCCTGCAGCTGTGGGCCCAGATCTAGCTGACTCAGTGCCTCCTCAGCACTTCCTTGCCTGTGGGGCAGTGTCCTCTCTCCACTCTAGGCTGTACCCCAGCACCACACTCATTCCTGGAACCTGTTGATACCCCGCCATTGCTCAGACCCTAAACTGGCCCTCAGTACACTGTCGTGATGCTAACAGCCTGCACCTACAGAACACACACCAGGCCTAGTGGCAGGCCCTTTCATGGTCTCGTTCAGTCCTTCTGGAGGCACTCTGATGACTGCCTCTCATTTCAGATGAAAAAGCTGAGGTGAAGCAAGTTGTCCAAAGGCACCGAGGGTACAGGCAGGGAGCTGAGACCCTACTATCTATGAAGGGGCTGTGTTGCCCCACCCTGTCCCCCAAGGCCCCTCAGACCCCAAGCACACATCATGGGTGGGGACATCATGCTGGGTAGGCTGTCCTAGCAATAGTCTTGTAAAATAGATAGGCTCAAGGATGCCACTTAGCTACAAGGAAAAGGGAAGAGATCTAGGAATTTCCTTCCCGCTCCTCCAGCACCTGCCAGGGACCCCACACCCGAGCAGACATCTGATTGGAAAAGAATTGGATGTCCATGACCTCAACTTCCTCTCAGCCCAGCACACTCTTCTCATGTCTGTGATGCTGCCTTATCTATAGTCTCCCGTGTGTGCGTTTCCATGACAGGGATACTGAGGAAAAAATATCAATAGATGAAGTTCATAACTTAATAATGAAAAGGATAAAATGTAAAATCTTTTTTTTTTTTTTGTCTTTTTGAGACAGGGTCTCGCCATGCAGTTCAGGTTGGCAGGCCCTGAGCTCACTGTGTAGCCCAGGCTGGTTTCAAACTCAGTGATTCTCCTGCCTCAGCCTCCCGAGTGCTGGGATTACAGGCATGTGCTACCATGCCCAGCAAAATGTAAAATCTTATGCTTGTAAAAGAATTTCAACATATGAAAAGATGGAAGGATGGCTTTTATTTTCTTTTGGTCTTATCTTTATTTTGTACAATGAAGACACACTATTTTTGTTCTAAGAAACAAAACAACAGAAACTGGAAGAAAGGAAGAAGGAAAGTGGTAGGGAGAGAGACAGAACAGTGCTTACCCATAATCCACAGATTGGGAGAACCAGCCGAGGACAGGGTGCCAGTGGGTCAGGTTGGACTTCTTCTGGGACACATACTTCTGACAGTAGCACAGCATCCGGGTGAGCAAGCTCACAAATCCATCTGTCTCCTCCTCTAGCACTTGGGGGCTGAGGGAGCCCAGCTGTAAGATGTTGGCTGCAAAGAGAGAAGGGAGAGCCCTGCTCTCCGTGGTTCAGGCAGCCACGGCATATGTGCAGGAGGAGAGTCCACGTGAGGGGCGCCTGCCAGTGCCGGAGACCACAGTATGGTGCAGGAGTCAGAAAGAGGCCAACCTAACTTCAAGTCCTGGGTCTGCTGTAGAGGAGTTGCATGACTCTCAACCTACCTCTTGAATCTGTTTTCTTAGCTGCAAGACTGGAATAATGATTCCCACTTTCCATGAGTATTACATATTAAGAAAACATGTAAAATCTCAAGACTCATAGAATAATGCATCTCCACTGTTTCTAAATAATTCTACCCATAAACCCTGCCTTCGTTGACAATGATAACATCGTGAAACAGGTGAAGCAGGTGCTACTCTGGTTTAAGCTCCACTTAAGCCCCTCTCTTCTCTCTTGAAATATAAATTATCCGGGCAATTCACGTTTTCATGTTTCCTTTAACTGCCAGAAGGCCGAAGGCTGAAACTGAATGCCCACCTATAGTCACTTACCTATCTCTCCAGGTTCATTTCCATATAATTGTAATTTTACATGCCCATTTTAACTGTCTGGATACATATTTTTTATGGCAAGCACTTCAAATTGTTACTAAAAACAATGAATAATCTCTAAGCAGGGAAGCAAAGGATTTGGGCTTCCTCTGCTAGCTAGAATCAAATTCCAGCCACTGGTACTCACCCATTACACAGAGGGTATGGCATCCTTCTAAATTTTCACATATGTCAAGGCACCGATCTTCAGCTCTCAAAAATATGATGAATCTACGAAGCATGTCATGCGATTCCAAAACAGTGAGACACTGCAAACAACGGGAGGCTGTGAGGGTGGACACTGACAGAACGGTTTCCCACTGTGGTGTGAACGTGGTTGTTTACAGATCACCCCCTGGTTATGTGGCACATGCTATCAAGCACCAAGGAGAAAAATGACAAAAGTGAGAGCCTGCTTCTCTGGGCTGCTAACGTAAGCATGCCGCAGTGGCTACTGCCTTAGAAGAAAAGCAGGGGAAGGAGTGAGAATTGGCAGAGAAATCATTTTGTTTTAAATTCTGAGAAAAAAACCCCAAAACTGATTTGGAGTTTGGGGAAATTCACAAAGCCCACTTACCTCAGGGGTCACTGTGCTGAGATGGGTCACGAGAGCAGGCACAGACATGACGTGGATGAGGAACGGCCGAATCAGATTGTCTGAAAACTGTGCGGCAATCACAGGGCTAGACACAGACAGATCCGCTTATTCGGACAGGTACACCGAAGGGCGACCCTGACAAAGCCCTCTAACTCCTAGAAATTATGCTTCCCAGGATGTCTAAGAAAATGACAGGCTGGAAATGGGGACATACACCAGGGGATAGTTAAGTCCATGACACAACAACTTCAAGCCACAACTGGGCAATCTAGCAACTTACTGAGATCTTGCCTCAAAATAAATAAAAAAGGGCTGGGGATGTAATACAGAGTAAAGGTCCGAGGTTCAATCCCAAGTATCTCTCTCTCTCTCTCTCTCTCTCTCTCTCTCTCTCACACACACACACACACACACACACACACACACGATGGAAAGAAAAGTCAATTTTGAAGTTTTACTGCCATGACAAAATGCTCATGCTGTACTAAATTGTAAAACACACACATGTAAACAACGACATAACGAGGAGAGAAAAAGGACTTCTGGAGGCTTTTATTACAGTTAAATTTTCAAATGAATTGTGCTTGCCAAAATGTCCACTTGATAACTCATCAGTAATTCATATTTGGATTAAGCAGTTTATTTCAAAATATATATAGTCTGATACTAACATTTACAAATATAAACACAGAAAAGATTGGAAAGGTAGATAAAAAAGTTAACGTATTTCTGGTTGTAAAAAAGAAAATCAAAAGAAATTTTTTTTCTTCTTTATACTTTTGTGCTTTATATATGTTTTCTGCAATAAGCATGCATTACTTTCCTAATCAGAAAAAGATGAATATTAAAATAACTGCCTCTATCTCATAGCATATACCAAAATTAACTCAAATAGATCACAGATCTAAATGCTACTTTTATAACTATAAAATTCTTTTTTCTCCCCAGTACTGGTGATTGAACCCAAGTATTGTCTACCACTGAACGACATCTCCAGCTACTTTTATTTTTTATTTTGAGATAGGGTATCGTAAGTTATTCAGGCAGGACTTGAACTTGGGATCTTCCTGCCTCAGCCTCTGGCAGTGCCGGGATTATATGCTAGGTGTATGCCACTCTGTAGAGCCTACAACTATAAAATTCTTAGAAGAAAACAGAGAAGTCTTTATGTCACTAGGTTGTACAATAACTTAGATAAGACACCAAAAATACAACAGACAAAAAATAAATAAATAAATTGTACTTCAGAATAAAAAAATTTTGTGATTCAAAAGACACTACCAGGAAAGTCCAAAGGCAACCTATAGAGCGACAGGAAATATTTCCAAATTATGAATCTTAGGGAACTTATATTCAGAACATAAAAAGAACTCATACAACTCAGTAAAGAAAGAAAACCCAACTGTAAAACAGTCATAGGCTCTAAATCAACACTTCTCTAAAGATATACAAATGGTTAATAAGTACACAAAAAAATGGCCAACATCACTAACCACCAGGGAATTTCAAATCAAATGACAGCGAGATACCATATCACACTTATTAGGATAGCTACAACAAAAACAAACAAAAAAACCACAGATAACAAGTGTTGGTGAAGGTGTGGAGAACGGGAACTTGCATACACTCCTGAAGGGAGTATAAAACGGCACAGCCACTTTGGAGAAGAGTTTGGCAGTTCTTCAAAAAGTTAAGTGTCCATGACTCAGCCATTCTACTCCTAGAAATACACCCAAGAGAAATGAAAATGTCTACACAGAAACTTGTATATCAATGTGCCTAACAACAAAATTCAGAATAGCTGAAGAATGGAAACAATTCAGATGTGGAATAACCATACAATGGATTATTTGGCCGTAAAAAGGAATGAATTTCCAACTCACGGTATGACATAGTTGGGCTTGAACACATTACGCAAAATGGGAAAAGGCAGTAACAAAAGGGCATGATTGTATGGTTCTGTTTACGTGAGATGATGAGAAACAGCCCAGCCCAAAGGGACAGAAAGGAGATTAGCTGTTGCCAGGGGTGAAGGAGAACAGAGGAGAGTGATGACTGATGGAGATGGAGCTGCTTCTGAGGATAACAAAAAAAAGTTTCAGAATCTGACAACGGTGATAGTTACACAGTTCTATGAACATACTACCCATGAGCGAACCATATACTTGGTGTGAAGCATATGATAATGTGAACTGTATTTTAATAAAGACATTATTTTAAAAAATAATCACTCAGAGACCATGCAAGGAAGAAAAGATAACAAGAACTTACAGGGAGAAATGGTTTCTAGCTAATGTGTGCACAGTGTTACTGATTTCATACTACTGCAATCTGTATCATCTACTTTTGCTTTCATGAGTATAATTTTCGAGACAAGGCTGAAATGTGCAATCAGGGTTAAGCACTGGTCTACCTACACGAGGCTGAGCAACGAAGCTAATCTGCGCTGGGCAAGCTGAAAGAATACCCAGTTGTTTTCTGCATGTTAGGAGTGGCTGCCACAGAGCCCGTATGGCCCACTGGCTGAGAGTGTGTACTACCTGGGTCTTCACAGAAAGCGTCTGCTAACACATGCTCTAACCCAGTGATGGTAAGCCTTTTAGAGATGAGTGTCCAAATTGCAACCTAAAACCCTCTTACCATAAAGTGCCAACGCTGCAATTAATCCTAAATATTGAGGTTTTGTTTAGGAAAACAAAAACAAAAATAAACGACAACCCCCCCCCCCGCAAAACCCCAACTCATACATTAACATCTTTTGTCTTAAAACCACATGTTTGCCACCACTTTTCTAATCATTGTTTTCCAAACGGCTCCGTGGAAAATGACTCCATGGGTTATTAACAGACATGCTCCGCCATCCAAAAATGAGGTTGGGGTGTTCCATGTTTGGATCTGTTTGGGCCAATATCCCACGAAACAAGCATAAGGGCTTTTGTGACAACCACAGAACGTGTTCTCAGGGCTTCCAGCAGTGAGGTGTGCTGTGGATTTGCAGGAACAGCAGGGCAGGTGGCTCTTCCCAAGCTGCCTTCACCATGGCACCTTTTCCTCCAGGAGTTCTTCCTAACCTCCTCCCAAGTCAGCAACAGTTGATAAATATTCTGGACTCACTGATGAACACTTTTTGCCATTTGACAGTTCTTAGAACCCTATGAGGAAACTTTTGCTTCTTAGATACTGTGATTAAGTGAAGGCAAACATCACAGCCTTGCTGCCCTTCCCTATTGCAGCATTTCAGTCTGTGTTCTAACATGACACCCTTAATCCTCTCCCTTGCCCTGGGCAGAGCCTCCGCTAGCTCTTAGGTTTCCTTTATGTGGTCAGTTAAGAACTCACGGGGGAAAGTGATTGCATGTGGCCACTGGCAGCCCGAACACAATTCATTTTGGATACTTTCCCTCAGATTTTGCTGTAAAAGTACTCAGGGGTACAGACAGAAGACTAAAAGTTTCTTACCGCAATGCTAGAGAGAAGGCTGCCGTTAAAGTGCCTTTGAACAGGCAAGGCCGGGATCTGGCCAGGCCTCGGGTCAACAATACCTGAAAAGAACATTCAACTGGTCAGAGGACAATACCAACTTTGTAGCAGTTTGTACATTAAAAAATAGAAGCAAATATTGTAAAAAATAGAAGGGTATGGAATATTGTAAAAAATAGAAGGGTATGGAATCTTCTATTATTGTCTCCTTAGTTTAAATATTATATTGCTTTTTTGTTTGTTTTTTGAGACACAGCCTTGCTACGTATGACAAGTTAGCCTTGAATTTACTATGGAGTCCAGGCTGGCCTTGAACTTGTGGTGATCCTCCTGCCTCAGTCTCCCAAGTGCTGGGATTACAGGAATGTGTTACGATACCCAGCCTTAAATATTACATTAATAAAGAGTTAAAAAAAACCCTAACAGTTGAAAGCTGGGCTTGAGGGCATGTGCCTGTGGTGCCAGATATCAGGAGGCTGAGGCAGGAGGATCATTTGAGCCCCAGGCTCTGGGAAAGTGGGCAACATAGCAGAATCTTGTCTCAAAGGAAGAAAAAGAATGTAGGCACACAGGGCATACTCAGGAGGCTGAGACTGAAGGATCACAAGTTCAAGGCCAGCCTCATATAGCTTAGCTAGATCTGTCACAAAACAAAAAATGAAAAGGTCTGGGGTTATAGCTCAGGAAAAAAAACCATCATCTAACAAGAATATCTGACTTAAATTTCATGTTACAGAGAAACAGTCCATACTTGCAGTATCAGCCAGAGGTTTTCTCTACTGAGATAAACTGCACACAGATCACTTTTTGCCATCACACTACCTTACAGGGTTATTGTGAGCAGCAAAAGAAATGAAATTAGGAAACAGTCCACTGTAGGGCCAGGTCGAAGGGCAACATCAACATTACATCTCAAACCCAAGAATTCCACAGTGCTTTTAAACAACAACCAAGCCTCTAACAATTCCTGGGGGTACTAGATGGAGACCACTACGAAGCCGCTCGGAGCAGGACTTAAATTAACCATTTGGCTTTCCATGTTTACCCGTGAGTCACTGGTCCCTACTGAGGCCTGTAATGTTGGGTGAAGCCATGAGGCCTCAAAGGACAAGACAAGGCCACAGCTGAGGACTTTTGTTCCTACCCCAATTAACTAAAAGGAGACTGTAGCTGTAGGCTTCTCACCCCTGTGGTGAAGGCCTTCCTGGGGATAACATGTTCTCTTAAATTAACACAAAGTATTACTTGGAAAAATCCTTAGAGGGATTCCCAAGTCCTGCCCAGATTCCTGCCTTTTCTTCAGTACATATCCCTTGCCTTTGTTTGAAAGTCAAATACATATGGGCCACACAGGGAAGTCTTGGTCTTAACCCAGAGAATCTTGAATTCTGTAAGAGGATTGAACCCTCCCGGAGCCCTAAAATAATTTCAGTTTTCTAACTTATTTAAGCCTTGCTATCCACTCGTTTGGGAGATTGCGGGCCTGATCAGCCTGAAATAACTAAGGGTTATTAACCCTATAGTACAATCCAGCACAATAAGGTGCAGAGCAGACAGAAGGCCATTGGAGGACATAGAACTAGAAATGTAATTCCAGACACCAACAAAGAAGGAACCTGAAGGAACAAGACGTGAGACTTCCTTCCTGAGTTTCAATTTCAAAAGAATGGATCACCCTTGCAGCTGAAACTGTATCACCCTTATTACAGGGATCCCAATGCCACTGTCCCCCTTTCCCTGAACCACTGGTGACCCAAGGCCAGGGGAAGGAGGAGAGGACACTGGGCATTAAACTCTTCCCACAGAAAGTGTTTTTATGTGAGAGCACCAGATGTGCTTAAACCAGTGTAAAAATCTAACTTCAGGCACTGGAGAATGGGGGTCACATCTTAGGGAGTGGCATCACATACCTGCAACACAGAATAAAATCCACGCTGATTGAGATGTCCCATTATATTTGCACAAATGTGGTTCATGGCAGGTCGAAGGTTCTCACCTAAATGAAGAAAAAAGTTTGAAAAAAAAAAATCCTGCATAATGTAGCCTATTTAACTTGGACAGAATTACATCCCAGGCCCAAGACTGCAAGGAAATGTGATACTGACGGACTTGGCTTCCTGCTCCCTTCTGTCTTGTCTGAATACACAGGGAGGCTCTGTCTATCCTGATTCTATCTCTCTTGGAAGGCCTGGCTCAAGTGTCATTTCTTGGGTGCTGGGTCCTTTCTTTCCCCCAGCGAGAAGGCACACTGTTGGCCTCCCTAGCTCCTTGAATTCCTTTCTGACTCCCTCCTAGGGCATGGTACCTTGTACTCTCCCTGGAGGCCTCCTCTCTCCAGTGGTATGTGAGTTCCCTGCAGGGCTCAGAATTGTACAATTTTTTATTAAAAAAATTTTTTTTTGTTTTTTTTCTTGATCAGGGTCTCACTAAGTAGTTCAGGCTGGCCTTGAACTCACTATGTGGCCCAGGCTGGCCCGAACACATGGTAATCCTCCTGCCTCAGCCCCTGGTGTGTGCCACCACACCTGGCTCAACAATTTTTTAGATCCCCATCAGAGTCTAGGATAATATCTAAAATAAAGCCTCCTTGTTCAACTGGAACTTCTGCATACATAGTCTCTCTCTCCTTCTTCACTGTGAACACCTCTCCCTCTAGCTCTGAGCTCAGATGTCACTTCTGCAGGGAAGACTGAGCCCTAGGCCAAGAAAGGCTTCCCCAAGCTTCACGAGTACTCTCATTCCTTAGGACTCTTCCTTCCAAGCACTTCCTATACTTATTATCACCTTATAGATGCATCTCAGATATAGTGTTTGCCCAGGGTGGTTCCAGAACTTGTATCAAAATCCATGGATGCTCAAGTCCCTTATATAAATGTTTTAGTATTTGTACAGAACCTACACACTTCCTCCTGAGGACTTTAAGTCATTTGTAGATTACTTGTAACTAGGCCAGTGTAAATGATATGTAAATATTTGTTAAATATATTGTTAAGGAATGACAAGAAGCCTCTACATGTTCAGTACAGATACTTTTTTTTTCAAATATTTTGATCCACGATTGGTTGGCTGAATCCATGGATAAGAACCTGCAAATATGGAGGGACAACTATGTATGGGTAATTTCTTCTTAATATCTCTAGACTCTTAAACTCTGTGAGAATGACAGCACCTAAAATCTCTAGAGGGCAGTGGCCTTTTCTGTGGGGATATGGTGCCCAGCACAGTAGGCTAGCAGCTGAATGGACGAGTAAAAAAGAATATACGAAATATGTAAGGCTAAAGACAGTATTTTTTTCAGGGAAGAAGGTAGCTTCACAGTACAAATTTTATGGGCAAAATAGAATTATTTGCTGCTTAATGGTTTTCCAACTGAAATGACAAAGCATAAATGAACATTATCATTTACAGGCTAAGGTGCTGTGGGAATTATAAAAAATGAGATCAGAAGAAGTGCGCCTTTAAATATACATCTGAACAGGGGAGAATGTAACACACAAGACTGCCACATTCTGGATCCTGCCACACAGTCTGCTGGGAAGTTCCAAGGGCATTCCTTGAGGCCCATGGTTGGAATACTGCTTCTTACAAAGGAGAGGAGGTGCCCATCCTCCACGCAAATGCCAGTTAGGGAAGATTTTGATTTTGAAGCCAGTCCCACTGACCTTTTCCTCGGAGAATTTTCCACGTGGAAGTGTCTGTGAAGGTGACGAGCACGGTTAGGTACAGTGTGATGAGTTTGGAGTCTTGTAAGATTTCAGGCTGGAAACAGTAAGAAAAGGATGATGAAGACTCATACTGTCTAATCCTGGACAGTGGAACACCCATCTTATAACTTTCTCAGGGCACTCAGACTAGAGTAACTGAGTCGGGACTGTAAATCCACTCTTTTTCTCTTGGGGAATGATCACCATGGAGTCAGATGACAAGGATTTCATCATACACTGCTTAACCATGTAACCATTCTTGGGAATGCAGCCCCCACCATGCTTGGGGAACAGCATGAAAGGGCTGGATTACTGTATGTGCATGTATTTGTCTGTGTGTCTGAACGCGGTAGCAATAGTAGAAAGGGAATTAAGCCTAACTGGGACTCTAGGCTCTGACTTCTTGCTTCACCACTTATTAGCTGTGTGATCTTAGGCAACTTTCTTAACCTCTCTGTGCTTGATTTCCTCATCCACTGACCAGGAATAGTAACATGGTTTCCTCCGTGGGGTTGTTGTGAAGAATAAATGGATTAATGAACACAAGCATCAACCTTAGCGGATAGTTCTGCTGGTTATTATTATGATTGTTCACTGTTTCAAAAGAGTAAGTCAGGTAAAATGCTTGACTGCTTTCCAGGCTTGCAGACCTACAGCACACACACCAGGAAGGGAGCCCGGAGCCGGTCAGTTCAAACCCTAAGCTCACAGGGAATAAAGAAGGGGAAGTGACCTGACCAGGGATGAGTGGGAAGTCAATACAACAGAAATAAATCTCCTGGCTCCAGGTTCAGTGCCCTTTTCTCCTAATACCCACTTCTATACACAAATTATTCTCACGTTTACAGACTAGCAGGACCTCTTCTCAAAGGGAAACTGTTAGGGAATACAGATACAAAAAGCACGGAAAAGGACGTGCCTGCCTCAAGTGGAGTAGGCATTCTGGTAGAACCTCAGGGCTCCAAGGACCAAGGTGTGAAGACCACTTCTCCACATCTCGATGCCTTACCTGACAGGCTGCCTGTGGCTTGCTACTGGCTCACAGCCTTGGGTGGGTTGTGACTAAGAGCCGTTCACGAGCACCCCAATAGCTGAGGATGGGGCGGAGTCTGGGGACACTTGCTCCAGTACTCAGGTCCAACCTGAGTCCTCGAAAAGCCTTTGTTCCTGAACTTCTCTCACTGTGTGCACAGCAGAAAGGCTGCTCTTTGTCTCTGCTCCCTCCTCCCTTTGCACAACAGGGGCAGGCACAGGGCCAGCCTGGGCCAGGAGCAGCAGCACTTTGCTCTCCCCGCTCTGACTGGTTTAGGGTTGAGCCCAGTGTCCCATTGGGCCTGTAAGAGTCCTCTCAAATTTATGGGTGCATAGGGGAGGCCTCCTTTTTTCTCCTTGGTCAAGATAGCAAAGATGTGAGGCCAGAACTGCTGACTGCCATGATTACAGCAGGAGACGCTGCAGGGCCTCTGAAAGGGAGCAGAGATAACAGAAAAGAGCTAGCAGAATCTACAAGTCCTAACTCTAGTCATCCCCAGCCGTCAAGTTTCAGAACATATTCTGTAATAAAATGTTCCTTCTTGGGGCTGGGGATTTGGCTCTGCGGCACAGCGCCTGCCTGGCAAGCGCAAGGTCGTGAGTCTGATTCCCGGTACCGGGTGTGTGTGTGGGGGGAGTTCCTTCTCAGTTTGTTTTCATTACTACCTTTGCTCATGTTGGGTTTCTGTACGTTACCTCTAATAAGAGGCCTGGGTAGCATAATAATATATATCAGAGTACTCATTACCTTGAAACAAGAAGGAAGACAGGGTTTCCTGGTGTTGAGACTATGGTAAGTGCAGTCAATGCTCAACATATTACACTCAAGTAGGGCTCACACTGATAACAGCATTTGTCTTGTTCTCTCCCGGAACAGTGGCTCCACAATAATTCTTTACTGGACCCTGAATGACATCGCTCTCCAAAGCTATCACCAATGAGGGAATGATGAAGGCTAAAAATATACACCAAAGGTTCCAGAGAATGAGATTGACAGACTTGTTTTTACCTTGAGCTGCTCAAGAAACTCACAGCAATACCACAGAATAGACTTGATCTGCTTAATCCACAGGAGAGTAAGATCCTTGGAAAGAGCCAGGGACACATACCACACCTATAAGCAGAGGAGGAGGAATGTGATGGCAGTTCTGGGGTCACAGTACACATGATCCCACTACTAGAACAGGACCTATGAGCTACTGCCAGTGCCAGATAAGGTGGTGAGGATGAATGGGTGAATTAGCAGGAAGCAGGACTTATTGTAACACAAAACCCAAAGATAAAAGAACTTGTAAGGGAATGTACTGTCCTTAGTAAGAGGCAAGAGCAGAACACAGTTTCTTGGACAGTGAAGACCAAGGCATTGTTTAAACTCTAAATGTTTTCCATCCACTCGTGACACGTATGTGTGGCCCCCAAGAGCCGGGGGGAGATTCTCCATCTCCTGAGCCTCTTACCTTAGGCTCATTCTCAGCATCCATGCTGCTCAGGATGCAACGACACAACTTCTCAAATCTCTGCAGAGGCAGAAAAGAGATCATAAACTTTCACAAAGTAACCAAAAATCCAGAAGATGGCCACACAAATTCAGGGCAGGCAATCTGCCATGTAATTCACCTATGTGATCATATTCAGTTCCTCCTTACAGATATGGACACTGAGGGTCAGAAGAGCTGGAGACAGGCCCTCAGATAACTGGCCCTAGGTTGGATGACCCCTACAGAAGGGCTTCAAAAGATGTATTTCACATAAAAACCCAGGATGGAAGTTTTTTTTTGTTGTTGTTGTTGTTGTTGTTATTGTTTTTGCAGTGAACCCAGGGCCTCAAACATAGCAGGAAAGCACTCTACCACTAAGTTGCATCCCCAGGACTGTGGTGCTTTTTGAAAACTGAAATTCCACCTGAAAAACTGGGCTTGGACTAGCAGCAGACTGGCAGCCGTTTCCTAACTGTGCTCTGCAGCCTGCCATTTTGTATGCATCATGAACACCGACTTCTGCCCCACAGCTGTCAGCTAAAGGTGGTTGTGTTAGCACTTTTATCCTACTGTGCAAAAAGGGAGAAGCAGAAACTGGAAAACAGGTTATACTCTGCTGTACTACTTTCAGCCTGCAGTTTCCTCCTAAAATAGGGATCACCTGCCTGAGCTTGTCTGTGCTTATCTACCCGACAGGGTAGTCAATGCCCATGCAATTCTCCCTGTCTGCCCGGTTAGGAGCTCCATAAGGGTAGAAACCTTGTGTCCTGTGTCCTGGTGGAGCCTTAGTGGCACCCTCAGTACTATTACAGATAACTATCTGCCTCTCTGGGACTGTATTTTCCAGGCCAATCATTCTTATCCTGAAGGTGGAAACTAGTGTTTTTGGTATGGATTGCCATGTGCAAAACAGAAACAAAACAAAATTCAAATTAGTTACCAACTTATACAAATTGGAACATTAAGCATTAAGCCCCAGGTCTCCAGTGTTTTGTTTTTATTTTGGCAGTACTGAGGATTGAACCCAGGGCCTCTGCAATGAACTACACCTCCAGCCCTTTTCTCATTTTTTACTTTTAGTTCTAAGAGAGAGTCGAAGTCACTAGGTTGTCCAGACTGTGTTCATACTTCTGATCCTCTACCCCAACCTCCCAGAATGCTAAGACTACAGACACACACCACTATACCTAGAATTTTGTCTCTTTAAAAAAAAAAAATCAGAGCCTAAGTCCAGCCTTGGAAGGAACCTAGCATGTGCTTCCCTGTGGATGACAGGAAACAAACCTCACCGCTCCCTTTGATGTTCTTACTACCACAGCCTGTCAGTTACTGTGTCTTCTGATTTGTATTTCCCACTATGCTGTCTTTCATATATGGTATCTTTGTTTTGTTAGGCAGTACTGGGGATTCAATCCCGAGTCTCTGCACTGACCTACATCCCAACCCTTCTTTATTTTGAGACAGAGTCTGAGTTGCACAGGCTTGGCTTGAACTTGCAATCCTCCTGCCTCAGCCTGCCACATGCTGGGGTTACAAGTATGTGCCACCATGCCTGGCTTCAAATATGGTGCCTTTCAGTTATATACCTAGGCTGCCTGGCTCCTGTATGCATCTGAGTCCAACTTGTGCTTGTAATAGTGTGAAAAGGTCTCCAGAGGCCATGGGCATCATCTCTGTAAAACAGGTGGTCCCAAGAAAACAAAAGGGGCAGGAGGCGGGGGTAAAATATCTACTTCAGAGAGCTGCTGCATGGACAAAATGAGTTAATATTTATAAAATGCTTATAAAAAGTCCTGACATATGGATTTAAATATGTTTGATATCATTATTTACCTCATTATCCTCTTTAATTCTGAATGAGAACAGTAGTTTCCTGGCAATCTTGAAGATACAAAGCGCACTTCTTTTACTGGACCCAGAGTCATCATCTTTTAAAAACTCGTCAATCTCTCTCCTAGGGAGGGAGAAGAGTAAAAACAAAGACATTTCAAATTAGGAGCTCACAGCATCTGGAGGCACTGTAAGGGAAAACTCACTCCTTTTTTTCTTAATTGGGAGCAAGAGAAAAATGTGCTGAGGAGTTCCTGGCACCCACCTGATGCTTCTATGCAGTTGACGCCGGCACAGGAAACTCCGGACATGTGCCTGAATCTCCACCGCTGCACGCTCCCGCTCCTTCTGAACTAGCCTTTCCTCTCGTGCCTGCCGGGTTCGGTCGATAAACCATGCTCTCGAAGTCTGAGATACAGTGAACATGTTTGCAAACTTGCACAAACTCTGCAAGGCAAATGGTGAGGAGCTGCTGCGGATGGCTGTATGAAAAACACACAGAAAAGGGCTCAAGCACAAAGGGTGGGCAGGGACTAGGGCAGTGGCACAGATATTCAGGACCCTCTAGCAGCTTCTAACGGGCTCTCAGCAACCCTGGCACAAGACAAATTCCTACTGGTTCCTTTCAGACAATATATCAAGATCAGGGATGCTATATCCTGTACTAAACGATTATATTTTAAGAGACTGAGCATACATAGTGCCTGGCATAAAGTACTGGAAAGCTCTGTGCAAATTTAATAAAGGAACAAAGCACGGATCAATCCTGCCATACAGCTCCAGTTCAAATCAGGTATCCTCTAAGTCAAAGATTCACAGACACAGTACTTGAATTTTCTGGAGACTACCATGTTTGGGAAGCTAACAATAAGCAGTAAACTATCTTGTGAAGGAAAGACTTGAAGAAAAAAAAAATCCAACATGATTATTTATTGTCACTATTACTTTAGTCATCCATTCACTCAACAAATGTTTATTGGTGCCTATGTTGTGCCCAGCCCAAAAAGTCTTTCTTTTTCTTTTCAAAGAGCCACTTTAATATTATGAAGGCACAAAGTATCCAGGTGCAGTGGCACACGCCTGTACTCCCAGTTACTTGGGAGGTTAGACAGAAAAGATTGGAAGCATCTGAGACCAGGCTGGGAAACCTGAGCCCCAGGTAGCAAGACCCCGCTTCAAAATAAAATTTTATAAAAGGGTGGGGTACTCAATGGGGAATAGTTACTTCACATGTATCAGGCCCTGAGTTCAATCCCTACTATGGGGAGGGAGATTTGGAGGGCAGGACTGAAATGAGCTTCAGAAATCCACTTCTGGATTGGTAACTTTCTTTACCAGGTTAAGTTACTGAACGTAGCACCTATGATGAGACATCATCCAGAATAAAAAGTCTGTGCTAGGCTCCTGCCACATGAACACATTTGGGGATTCTATGGCCCTTTCTCAACACTGATTCGCACTTGTCAAACACCAGGGCTGCCAATATGTGAGTCTGTCAACAGCAACTCCTGAAACAGTAAGAGCCTGCCTAACCACGGAGTGAGAAGGCTGGAGGAAGACAGGCAGCTGTTCTCTGAATCCTTTACTCTTTCTGCCCCAATCTAGAGATGTCACCTGACAACCTGCCCATGCAGCAGAAATGGTAGGCTAACCATTAGATCACCAGTGATACTGCACAGGACACACAGTTGAGGACAGTTTCTCATATCAAAGGAGCCTTTTGTTTCTGACAGAAGCAGAAGAAAAAGAATCCATATTTAGAGTTAAGTTTTACAGGTGTGGCATCGTGCATATTCCTCACTGAGTAGTCTAAGTAACAAATACAGTGGTAGAGGTAAAAAAAAAAAAACAAAAAAAAAACTTATGTCCTACTTAGTTAATGTCTCATCTAAATGTTAAGACTGTATCACCCCAGTCCTTGAAATGTAAAGGGAATAGGTTGAAAATAGTTCCAAAGAAGTTGCTGAATTAAAGCTTTACAGGCTCTGGGATGGCAAACAAAAATAACAGAGATGATGAAACATTAAAAAGCCACTGAAAATTTTGACATCTTTTAATGTTATGGAAAAATGTTTATACCCTTGATGGGAAAAAATGGCTGCCTGTGAACCATACAATCCCATTTATCTGATGGAAAAAAACATATGCAAATAGGTATCAAACTGGGCTGAAATATGCCAATGTGTCAAGACTCGTTAAGCATGATGGCCCTGGATCAATCCACAGCACTACACACAAAAAAGTGATTGTTTTGAGGCAGTGTAAGGTTATGGGAAATCTTTCTTGTTTCTACTTTCTAAATTTTCTAGAGTGCCAGGCGTGGTGGCGCATGCCTGTAATCCCAGCACTCGGGAAGCTGAGGCAGGAGGATCGTTGTGAGCTCAAGACCAGCTTGGGCTCCAAAGTGAGCTCAAGGCCAGTCTGAACTGCATAGCGAGACCCTGTCTCAAAAAGACAAAAATAAATAAATTTTTTAGAGAGCAAATGAACAGGGCCCAAACCATGAGCACAACATACGATCTCTCTATAACCTGTCCCTTATTGGTGGAGGGAGGGGAGTGGGAGTTACAGGGATCAGAGGGAGCTTCTTCTCAATGGAAAGACAGAAGGTTGCATGCAAACTGTGCCTAATTTCAAGTAAGCCTATCTCAAAACTTTTACCTCTCTCAGGGGACGTTGGAGAATAAGATCTCTCTTGAGATTGTCCTCATCTTGGCAACATTACACATTGGTTTCTGTTTATACAGTCTATGTAGTTTTTCTTATTTTTTCCTATATAACTCCTCCACTTGCATAATGTATACTATAGCTCATCAAATAAAATACATAATCAAATACCAAGTACTTATTTTGCTAAATGTTACAGAGAAGAAAAGACTGTAACAGAAAAGGAGTTGGACTGGAGTAACTGGTCCCTGTTTCTCTTTAGTTCTACCCCTCATTTTGCCAATTTATTCATATATATTTACATATACTTTTACATAAGT